AAGCAGACTTCGCGTGAATTGAAGAAGAGAGAACAAAACGATTGAAAATATGACAAAGTTTAAGATCATTCGTCGAAGGGTATTTCTCACTCCCGCCTCAATCTTTATGGGCTTTATGAGTCTACATACATTACTAAAGCTTCATATTTGAAAAACAATATCCTAGATCAACGCTTCGCACATCAACAAATCTTACTCCATATCAATTCAGCTTCCAGTGCTAGTCGTTATACCAGGGTTTACTCCGCCTCATATGCAGTACTTCATGTCTGTTAATTCCATTGTGTTATGTTTTGTACCATAACAACACGCCTTTATATCGCTTCTGATCGGTAAAACCTGTTCTGCTCCTTTCGTATTCTACGTCGAGTCTCGAATGTGGACGCTTGTAAGAAAGCGAAGGTTTGTGCTACAGTTCTATTCAAATCAGTTGTGAGACAAAAATTTCTATCTTTATTCTACCTACCTCGATCAAAGCTATATCTACGCGTATGATAGTTAAAGTTAGTTCGTTTGCCAACCAAAGTAAGTACATAGATAAAACGTTGTTATACAGTTAGCAATTGTTGCGCTAAATAGCGAGTTTGAAATGCACCAAATCTACGACGCGGACGTGACATGAAATCTGCTACTAGTGTTAGGAACCCAGTATTAATTTGTTTTACACACGGCTTTGACTTCACTTATCAAAAAGAGTCTATAATTTTCATCCCTGTTGGAAAACTGTGGAAATTAGAGCAGTTTTATCTCACGTCCGCGTCGTAGATTTGGTGAATCTTAAACTCAATAATAAGTTAGGCAAGTATTGTTATTTTATTGTCTAACGCATTATTTTATTCTGCGGTTATATATGCGCGATGTTTAAACGAACAAACTGCGAGTTTTCATTCATGTAATGCAAACTGTAAATGGAGATGCAGAGATGTATCAATGTGTGTTTTTTATAGGCAGCGTTCGTCGTCTCTATATATAAGGACTAAGGGCTGCTTTCCACTGCCGTTTTATTGCACGTAGCCCACGTAGATATTACTGTGCATATATCTATTACTTATTCTGTTGTTAAAACCGTTGTTAAAAAACTTTAATTTTCTGCTAAGTGTTTTGACGAGAGAACGTTTTATTGGCATTTCATGAACGCGCAAAATGTAACCGTCTAGGGTGAATTTTGACAGAATAACATTTTAAAAGAAAATATTATGCAGATATATGATGCTAGCGAACTATTTCTCTGCAAGTGGAACTCCAGCCTTATCATGCGAATCAAATAGACGCGAAATAGACATGTATACCTGTTCATTTTTGTAGAAAAGCAGCTTTGGACTTGCTGTCTCCTTAAAAGGGAGTCATCTCGGACAATTGCAGCCGTAATCGATGGCGAATTTCATGCCCATGGGATTTCATTTAGTTTAAGTTTGACTTCAGCTCTAAAACTCTACCTGAAAAGAATAGAATGCAATGTAAGGTTTCTGCAAAGCTTTTAGAATTAAAGTGAAAGATATGCATGCAGCTAGAATGTGCGACATCATGCAAAACTCTCCACGTAAATTTCATTACCTGTTTCATTTCAGCAATAAGCTCCGAGAAAAAGCTAGTCGTGCTCTCTCTTTAAAGGCGAGTTATCTCGAGCCATTTTAGCCACAATTTATCGGTCATCAATCCCTTGTTCACGAATTGCATCGTCGAGCTTGGCTTTAAGTCGTCAGAATTCTGTCTGAAATGAATAAAAACCAACGTTATACTCGCTCGTTAGTGTTGGAAGAACAAGCAATTTCAAATCGAACACAAGGCGAACACACCTCGATCTTTGGGCATTTCACGAGGTGTAAAGTTAGGTCATGTGGGCGAAATCGCCCAAATCTCTCACTAAAGCAAGCATATAATCGTAAATAAAAGGGCATATTACCTGTTCTTACATGCACTCACGACAGGGCGAGAGATACTAAACTTCTCTTCTGTAGAAAGACGGGGTCATTGATAACAATTTCAGACAAAATCTTTAGCATTATGAGTGACTTGTATTTATTCTTTGAAGATCAGTGCCCAAATGATGCTTCAAACAGGTTAGCAGATGACTATAAATACGTTTGCCCAACATTGTTATATGCAGGCCTTTGTTTGTTTTAAACAGAGAAAACAAAGATTATGTTAATTTGGCTTATTTATATCCAGCAATCCCACCTACAGGGAAATTTTCGACTAGGAATGGGGGTGGGGGGGGGGGGGTGGCGGCCCTTTTTTTTAGCTGCCCTTTTTATTAACCAAAGCGCCCCTTGAAGCTGCCCTCCCCCCAAACCTCTATCTCTGGATGCTTCCTACGCCCTGGCTTTTGTTATTTAATAGAAGTGAACATATATGAATGAATATTTTAATGATTTTAAAAGTGCTGCCGGTAATTATAACCCTCACACTTCTCGATATACACAGTGGCGTAGACAGCCCGACAATTTAAAGCTATTTTTGTATATGGCAAAAAACATATGTTTGCGGGCGGCATGTCAGACATGCGTCAAACCGGCGCTCCAATGCATTAGTAGATCCAATATGGCACCGCACGCGAACACCATTTGACCTGCGCAATCCAACCATTCGTGCTCTATTGGGTGACATATTGCTCATAGTATAGACAGTCTATAACCATTATCTGTAATCTATAGGGACGAGTCAATAACGCGACGATATAGTGACTCTTTCCCTTATATATAGTCTAAAATTAATATAGGTCATATAGTGTTGCTTTAGTAATCGAATAAATAGAAAATACAAGTTCCGGCTTGGGAGGATCCTGATTGTCACGTTCAAGCCAAAAGACTCAACATTAAGTTATTGTAATCATAGATTAGTCGAATCGTACACTGTCCAATTAGCGTAACGGTTGGTCAGGTTGATGTCTTAGAGGCTAGCTACCTCTTTCATGGTATGTTGCGTGTGCGCGTACATGACATCATGCACTTGTGCGCAGTTGCAGAGTCCTAATCAGTAATGGGAAAGAATATAAACCCCAGGAGAACGATTTAAAGGCAATTTAAGAACGAGTCTTTGAGATGAAATTTCGATTGACCACAAAAAATGACATCTTATATAGGATGATATAGATATTCCCCCAAACCCCTTCCCCCACAAAAAGCGCGTGTGCGTATTTATGTAGCTAGAAGCTTAATGGGGGGGGGGGTATATTCATATATTCGTCCTATGCCTGACTGATTTCGTTTGTACGCTATTGTTCCTATGGTATATAAACATGAATATATGAATATACACCCCCCCCCCCCCAATTAAGCGGTCTAGCTACGGCTCTGCGTGTGTGTATGTATCGTTTTGCGCAGAAAACCCGCTTGCTAGTAATCATTAGAACGGCTTCGATCATTAATCATGTTACGCTAATATTATGACCAAATTGTAAGGTTGGCTACGCCATTGGATATAACTTTTGCCCAATTTGGCTTGCCATAAGCAGAGATGACGATGTCTTCCTGTTTTAGCTGGATATCGGCTATATGACTATTGGGAGTTCATCTCCGGAAAGTGGATCTTAAAAAACGTGGCTGCACCCTAATACTTATTTTTTTCTTCATTTACCCTCCAGGAGCCGGTTGTATAAAACTATTCAACTCCACGTTACATAGTAAAATCCTATTGTTAACTCAGAAATATACACCACTCTGATTGGCCAATTCTGGCTCTATAAGTTAAAAGTTAACTATATAGACTTTCATACAACTGGCCCCTGGTAGTTAGGCTTCCTTTCGTAACACATTTCGCTGTTTAACTGAGGCGCCTAATTTGACAATCACGAATGCTGCCGTGAAGTGCTTATATTCATATTTTTTATTCACTTTATAGAAGTTGAAGTTACGTCGACGTGACAAATTACAGTCGGCGGCCATATTTAGATATAAATAACCAAGTATATATATGGATGTCATGATAGCAATATCTCACATCTGGTATCACTATTGTCTGAAAAAACACTTCTCGACTTTTCGACTGAAGAGTTAGTATGTCTAACAATACTAATTCTCAAGGCTTTGAGATTGAAATGTCGAGTAGTGTTTTTTAGTGTTTCAGGCAGTTGTTATAACCACATTTAATGCGAAGATGTTAAAAGACGCTGTCATGCTGCCTCTTGGTTATAAGTGATGATCGGCTCCCACGTGCACGTGATGGAAAGAAGGACCTCGCAAAAATATAGAAACCGAATGACGTACAAATACGTAAGGAAAGTTCAAGGCCGGTTGCGGTCAAACATTCACGTGAAAGTTTAAGTGCATTATTGACTGCATAGATAACCGCAATGGGGAACATTGTAAGCAAGTGCACAACGTGCGTCATCGTCGACCTTCCCTGAGGGAGAAATGTTCCCATGGGCAGGGCGTGAGCTCCAAATTAGTTTAATTCGAAACTCACAGTAGAGGGAGTGCGCATTATAGAAACGTTTATCAATATAGGAAATTGAAAACGAATGGTGTTCCATAGTGATGTGATCAGAATCGTGTATTTTTAGAGTCAAATGCAATTTAAGCCCCGTTTACACTACGCGTGACATTTGGTACGGCACGGATAAAACTGGCATCCGCACCATTTTATCCGTGCTTGGACTACCTTAGCCCCGTTTACAGCACACTCAATTGATCGGCACGGCCCAATTTTATTAGTGTTCAGGCCAGCAAAACAAAAGCCGAGGCACATATGAAATGGGCACGGGTACCCATTTTAGCCGTGCTGTGCCAATAAATCGCTGTATTGATACTAAACCGGGCTTCACTATAGCCTAAAATATAGTGAAAAATATCACACAGCCAACCCATGCGGGTCATTTTAGCGAGCCGATTTTCTCTGGGTGGAACAAGGCTACAAGCGAAAGGAAAGCAAAGATTCGCAGTATATGAGGAATGGTTTGGAGTAAGACTACTAGTCACACACTTTCCACAGACAACCCCAATAGAATCCCTTTTTAAAATCACACCAAGTTAATTGATTGTATCTACGACTTTGACACGACGTAATAGAAATACATATTATATTTATAGCATCAACAGAAATACATATGAGTGGTAGTTTGCGTAAAACTACAGATTTCTGAGATCACTTTGAAATTATATCTATATGACAACCCACCATTTTAACGTGCAATAAACGTTTATATTCCGAGCTTATATATTTAGTGCTATTTATCTTAGAGGATAAAAAAAAAGTGAGACAATACATATCGAAGTGAGAACTTCCAATGTTTCAATATTTGCGATGCCCAGATTGCAACAATAGTCCCAATAATAAACTTTTAAACTTCTATTTCAGGTAAACAGCAAGGCCTAACTTTCGTCGCAGAATTTTCGTTCGACTTATTCGTGTCATTTTTTTCTTATGTTTAAACATTGATTGTGCTTTGGGTCTCACTTTGGGTTTCAAAAATTAAATCCATTTGCTCTTTATTGCCGTTTAGCCAAAAATGTTTCTTCGCCTGGAGTTTAACGTGAAGCTTAAACTCCCTACTAACGAGGACAGCCCACGTAGGAATGGTCCCAATTAAATTTTTACGTGCAAATGTGCATGGGAAGTATAGGGTTATTTAAAAAAATATTTTTATAATTTCCTACCGACTAGAAACGAATATAGAACCTCTGCGGACACACGGCTATCTCTAAGGGTGCAGATTAGAACTAGGATCTATAACTGGGACCATTCAACGGGACTGCCATGGGCTTCGATTCATATAAATCTGCGGGGTATTTTCATATTTTCAAAAGACTGAATCCTTATACAAGCGATGAAATAGTTGTCTGATACCAAGTGTTTAAAAACAAAAACTGAGAAATCTGGCTCGCAAGCATGTATATGGGCGCATTCTCACTTCAGATGTTTATATATAGAACTCACTATAGATGTCCAATTACTTTCCGGCAGCAGAATTTCCAGCATTGTTGCTGTTGGAGACTACAGGAAGGTCGATTTTTGGAAAATTTTCATCCGGAAGTGACTTGCAAACTTCCAGTAAATGCGCCTTGTGACCAGGATTTACAATACTATAAAAAATTCAAATGGTGTTAGCATCTCTGAATGTTACAAACTATGTTACACTCTTTATGGTTTGTAATTTCCGTTATCCTCGTTGATCCTTCAAAAACCCGCGGGCACAAATGGCATGGACATGCAAAATTAGGAAAAGATATATTAAGTAGATTTATAAGCAGAGAGGATAAACAAGAATAAAATAAAACAACTTAGTTTGTTCTCTTGAAAAGCAGGATTTTTTACGAGATTGCATGACATACACACTTTGTGGTGAAATATAATAAATTACACCTTAATCATTGCAATTGATTTGAATACAAATTTATAATTATATCCATGCAAAAAAATATGAAACCTTGTTGTGTCAACCAAGATAGCGCTTATGACAGATTATCACCTCACATGCAAGACAACCACTTCCTCTCAAGCTGTTATTTTGACCTGATCCTGTGAACCATTTGGGTGGGAAGCGATTACCACCAAGAACGCAGATTGCACACAGTGTGGCGCCCGATATGGCAGGTGCTAGCTTTTTAATACAGTGCTAAAAGCAACTTACCATTTTGTTATTGTTTTAGAGCAATCCTGTTGACTAATAGCGAAAATACGCTTAGTCATTAGCGAACAAATAGGACCACGCAAGATATTGCAGTATACGTCTATAAACTCCATTAGGCATGAATGATTCGTTGTTATATTGGCAACTTTGGAAAATTGAGAAATCTGTACTTTAAAGCCATTCGTATTGATTGGGTAGAATTTCGTAAAGGCTTTCGGATACTAGAAATAAAGAATATTAAAGTTGACCAAACGCAGATCTTAAAATACGATCACGTACGTTCACATTTCGAATCACAAAATACTTTGACATTGTTTAGCTGCTACATTCAGTTGAACTGAAATGATAAATTCGCGGGACATCACGACAGCATTTTGCCAACAAAAAGCGAGGTTCGTGTGAGCTTTGAGTTCTAAAATCATTGACAAATTTCGCTGTAACGTTCAACAAAAGGGCTTGTAATTTACATGAAATAACTATGCTGACAGTATTGTCGCTCAAATAACAATCCCCCCCCCCCCAAATCAATGTTGAGTTGTTATGTTGAGGCCTTAGCGCATCTTGCCCGCGATATATTCTAGCATTTTCATCGCCACGAGATTTTTTTGAATGATTGTAGTTTGTTTTATACAGTTGACCGGACAAGAAAACCTTTCTGTGCGCAAAATTAATAATGGAATTATTTTTTTGAGAACAGAGGCTATTAAGATGTTTACATGGATTAACAATTATGTCTGAAAGCGTTATAGAGGAAATGCTGATTGAGGCAGTTATCATAGTGTTGCTAGAATGTTTCAGTATCCCAAAGTTTACAACATTTCCCAGCATAGTGTCCAGAAAAGCATGTGCATGGTCAAGAAATAAGCAATAGGCTGCATATTGGATTGCTGTCCAGCATCCCGCTGGCAAACCATAGCGTGTTAATTAAATTTCTGGCCAATAATGACGCGAGATTCACGTGGTTAACAAATTAAAACCAATTAAAACCATTAACAAAGCTAATTGGCAATATTTCAGTGTGTTGACAAAAGTCTGTATTTTGCAAAGTTCATGATGTGTTAGCTAAGTTGTCCTTCAGATGTCTATATTTCATTTGACGCCATGTGCTTTAGAAGGTCTGCATAATATTATGACTTGGTCGCTTGGTCAATCTTTTATATACTGCTGTGCCAAGGGCAATGTTTTGTATTTAGAATATTATAGTAATAACATTTTATCATGTATCAAAATTGTTGGGGCAGTTTCTGCTGTGTGAAAAACAATTGCATTTCAATCTGAGTGTAAAGCAAATGGGTGGATTATTCAAAGAAGGTTTGTTATTAACAAGCAAAATCTTCAGAAGTTCCACTGCATGTGTCAGGAAATATGAAATTTGCCCATGAAACGGAAACGCTACCGGTTCGATAACGTAGATTTTAGGATTTAGGTCTATAAACATGAGATCAGGGTAAATAATCCAGAATGTAAACCGCGTAAGGTCGGTTTTGAATTGAAAAAAACGCGGCGACCAGTGTTAGTCAAAAGGAATTGAAGCACTCAGGAATTTCGGATTTTTAATTCCGAGTACTGCATGTATAAAGCTCTATTTCATATGAATTTCCTCAAATCTGCCAACAGAAAGTTTTTTAATCGGTCATGCATCCGAATGTGAGCGGTTATAGTTTACTGCAGAACGTTAAATCAGTGACAGAACTGGTTTTGCGGGGTTGCATTTCTTGTGAACCATCAACTTCGACTTTGAGTTAAAAACTGGACAAATTAAGTTATTGAGATGCTGTTAGGGGGAACTGCGGGATAAGCAAAGCAATCTGATTGTCGCCGATTGCGGATTTTCTTCGCGGATCGTGGGTTGGTTTTACCGGGTAGAGCGCAGAGGGAAGAGCCTTTGCGTGAAACATAATCAGCACATAATTACGCTGCAGCATGCACCAATATTTTGACAAGAGATAAAGGGCGTCGTGTGCATGTGTAATCTTGATAACCTTGGACCGCGCCAAAATCTGCCTACAACTCAAGCATATAGCACCACAGAGCAATCTTGCGAATTATGAATACTGAGTCAGCTGAAGCTACATTTATTTGGATATATAATGAAATATATATATATATAGTCCCATTCATAATCCTTTTTACGAAACTATATACTGAAAGTCTGAAACTATTACTTTTGTGACCTTATCATCGTCATATAAAGATAATCCTTATCCACATGTTTTGCTAACCTCAGTCTTAATACCTACTTTTAAGACTGAATAAATACGTTACTCTAGGATAGCCGCTAGGAGCGATTATTTAATAAATAATGGCAATAATAATAACAGGCGTTGTTGACTTACTGTGACCACATCATTCTGACATAATATTTTTTGGAGAAAAGGTGTGAAAAAGGCCTGACAGCGAAATAAGATTGTGTTTAGGAGATAACCCGAGCAAAAAAATAGGCGACCATTATATAATTTCCTATCACACCTCGGTTTCAACTTTCAAACGTGAAATTTTCATTTCTCACGTGCGGAATACACTAACCAAAAACTCTTCAACAATAAATACTGTGGCACACGCAAATAAGAGGTTAGAAGAAATTCATATCTCGAAAGGTGAATAAACTATTTTAAAATCATCTCTTCTTAATATCTGTGTCTTAATTTTACCAGGGCCACGGTGATAGTCTGAACAGACGAGAGACTGTCGCCTGGTGGTTAGCAACAGAAACTCTCTTTAGCTTATCACGTAAATTAGGTAAAATGAAGGAGACCTTGCATGGCAAGGCTTATTTACCACAATGAGCCGGCTTAAAATAGAGGATTTTTTTGACAACTATGTCGTTGAAAAATGTTTATACTTTACCATGTAATCTGTTCTTGAACAGACGTCACCAGGGACAACAGTATGCTTTTCACATATCGCGAAGTCGTAAGGGTTTGTCTGAATGATGGCGCAGTTGTGAATCGTTGCCGCTTGAACAGGAAGAGAACATGATTTTTTGACATTTGCGCAGGCTCGCCTGGTCCGGTTTACGTTGTATTTCAATACGAAACCGTAAGGTGACTGCTTGTTCGGCGTGCACTGCATTAGCGAGTTAGAGCATGAATATTCGCGAAGATCCTCAAGGCACTTCGGGGTACCTTTAAAAACGGCCACACGGTTTAACTCGACTTGCACATTCTGAAGAGTTACATTAGCCAAGGCTGTCGGCATTGCGTCAGCCCCAGGAACTTGGTGGGAAAATGAAGCCGGGCAGACAGTGTTACTCGGTATATCATAGCAGCTCGTCGGTGCACTGGTGTCCAAAACCAGATACCCTTGGGGAGCTTGTTTATTGGCATTATTTGCGCCCATACTTGCCGCGCTAACGGCAGAGCAGAGGGACAAAGAAACGAGGAACCATTTCAGCACCATAGACATCGCTGAGTTTCAATGCTGACACTGCACTGACGACGTTACAGACCTACAGAGAGTCAGATGAGTCGCGAAGGAAGGACAGATTGATTTATGGTCTAATGCGCTGCCGAATATAAATACGTGTTATCTTGAGCGCGTCATTCAACATTGAGGGCAACCGGATAAAAGATGACAGAATCCCTAAAACAACGCAGAGACGTTTTGGTAAAAAGAGTATATATTGTTTCGTAAATACATGTAAATTAAGGGCGAATTTAATCTGCTTATATTCCATCATCGCGCACCGGGAATCGCTAAGTGTTCTTCTTTACCTTGGCTGGTATCGGCTGGTCAACAGGACTATTCCCACAAGTGTTTAAATCCATTTTCAAGTTGTTAACATCAGAATAGATTGTAGCCTGTTGTATTGTCTGTCTCATTTCAAAGCATTGGAATATTAGTAACAGTTCTTCTATATCAGGACAATTAAGACCTTTCCAGATCAAATTTAAAAACCCATTTTTCAACTCATAGCTAGGCTTGGAATTAGTTAATAAATTTCCTTCAACCGATACAAAGGTCGCCACAGACGAAATGGACAGGGTGCCGTGCCGTGGGTTTAGCGTAAACGTGGCTTCTATTACCTTTGCATCTCTGACGTGTTGTGACAAATTCGCAAACAATAGGTTGTGAATAAGTCAAAATTAAATAACACTGACTCATACATCTCTAATGAATGAGTCAACTTGAATATAATGCACTGAATATGTAGTTGTAAACAGTATCTTTGTATTAAGGTAAAAAACACATTTAGTTCGCTTGTTGAATAAAACGATAGACTTGCTTTTTAATTTGAACTTATCCAACGTTTAAGCTAAACAGGCTTTATACAACCGGCCCCAGTTTAATAAGCCAAGTAAATATAAACTACAATGTCAATGTGTGGTTACACGTAACGCGTACACAATAAACCGAACATTGCTTCTGGACAAATAACAATATATATTTACATTTGGCATTGCGCATATCTGGCACTGAACACCAGTAGCACTATTCTCTTCCAACAATTCAGTAATATATCTCTCAGTCAACGAGACTGATTTTATAAGTGTTTAATACAATGTTGTTTACTAAGTGAGTCTTTTTAATTTAATAAAAATGGGAAATAACCGAATGGCTCGCTCGCGACGAGTGACTTAATCGCAAATGGACGGTTAAATTACCTATATATATTTATTATATATATACCGGGTGTTTGGTGAATTGTTGACGGGAATTTTATTTAAGCGTATTAATTGTTATTCTAACCCAATTTACAGTTCTGAGGCCAGTTGTATAAATGACCAGTTAACTTTCAACTGCAGTTGAGGACAGAATTGGCCAATCAGAGTAGTGTATTTCTGACTTAGCTAGGATTTAACTATGCAAAATGTAGTTAAGACTTTTATACAACCGGTCCCTGTTTCAAAAGGAACATAATTTTCATTGGCACTTTTAGTTCCCTTTCCCTTTTTTTATACATACGATGAAAAGTTGGTAAAAGATCAGCTTGTTATTACTCGAGCTAAAGCGAGAGTCTTACATTCGATCAAGTTTTTTTCGCGCAAGACTTTAAAGACTTTTTTTCGGCCAATTTTGATTCTGGCCAATCGAAGTAAATCGTGGTCGCATGTGACATATTTGTGAACATCTTATTGGCGTTCAGCGGCTCACTCAACTTCCTGTTTCTTCGGCTAGCTTCAGCAGCTGATTCGACTTTTAACTTTATTGTGCATACAACACGTTACGCTAACAAAAAAGTGTAATAATATTGCGTTTTAATATGCGCACGCAGGTATTTGTGATACGCACCCACGTTTTTTTGTGTTTGTACGCTTTCGAAGCGTACTCGATCGAAGCTAAACGACACTGCACGCATATTCTGTGTACTCGATCAAAACTAAACGACTGAAAGAATATTCTAGGAATTTGATCGTAGATAAACGTCTGCACGCATATTCTGCGCGATCAAAATTAAACGTCTGTACACAAATTCTGTGTCTCGATCAAAACTAAATGACTGCACGCATCTGCTTTTACCTATAAACTTTCTCCGGCTAAAAGCATGTACAAGCAAAAGCACTGCTTTAGCTCGAGTAAACTCTTAGCAAGCGTCTTGTTTGCAAATCAAAATGGGCATGTAGTCAAACAGCTTTTTTAAGACAATGCGTTTGCAAAGAAATTGATTGATATTTTGCAGGTAATTTTTCAAAAAATTCAGTGTAGTTTACAATCCAAATTTCTGATGGCATAATCCGTAATCTAAAATATATTTTGTTCTAAGTAGTAGCTTGCTCGCATAAGAGATAAAAAACACATTATATATTAATTTGTCCTTGAAGATCCATTAATTTTCACATGCACAAAGGGGATTGCGAATACCGCGCTATTTCATAAATTTTAATTATGTATGCTCATGCAGCGAACTTCTCTCAATGCATGCCGAATAACATGCGTTTCACAGTCGGATTATACTTTTTTGAGAACCACTGAATGTGTAATCCGACAAAATCCATGAATTTCCAAATTTCCAAATAATTTCCAAATTTAGGGCAATCTAAACGGCTTGTGATTTGTTGCTGAGAAAGCATTCCGCGGAACCTTTTGCGGTCGCGCTGAAGAAAAAGCGATCATCTTATATGGTAGATTTGTCATAGATGCGACGTAAAAAAATTCCACCACGATTTAGTCACATAAAAAAGTTGAGGACCTCACATTTCTAGATCAACATTAATTCGACCAGAGAATTCCGCTCCCAGTTATCGACGTCAGTGAGAATTAAGACCTCGCTATCCTCTTGACACTCAAGATTCAAGAAAATCTATATCTGCTTAGCGATGTGGTATCATGGAAAATTATATGGGGCCTTTTAGGAAATATTTTGGTCTAATTTACCACGAGCTGATAATCTTATCAACTTTAAGACAAAGATTTTTCTGCGCTTTGTCGAAGACTAAGAAAGGAGGAAGGATATTGCCGTTGAGGCGTTGACTAGTTACCTAATTATATTTACATGGATGGCTGTTCCCGAAGTATGCATGGCATATAACGCTAAGTCTCCCCAGGGAGCGCTATAGCGCGGGCTACAGGCGTTAATTGGCAGCTGCATGGTGAACCCCTTGCTATCTCCATCGGGGTATTCTCACCAAGCACGACTCGCTCTCATCTATGGATGCGCGACGATGTATCGAATCCTCTGAATCAAGGGCTTGATTTTATTAGTGAAATACTTAGACACAAGCAATTAAAATCGAGTGGAAATATCGTAAAAGAATAGTTACCGCATGATTCGTGTCACTCAGTGAGTCTGAGATTTTGGAATAATGGCGACATAGATTGCACAATTCCATATCCGAACTAATCTGGCAATTTCATCGACCATCCCTCTTCAAAACCGACCATTTTTTCCTTGAATTGTTGATAATTTAATTATTCTGTTTATATTCGGTCTTTTCCCCTTGTATACCCTTCCAATTTTTGCTGCGATATCTCGGATCGCGTTAATTTCGTCTCAGTTTGATGCATGCACCTTTTATGTTGATTATAATCCCAAAACAACATTCTTAAACACACTTTCGAAACTTATATCCACGACCACGGCATACATCCCAGCAACCAACATCAGGCGAAGCCACATCGATAAATCGCACGAAATGTACTTTAAAACTCCTGAGTACTATATAAGGCATCGATCCGAAGTGTCTACCGTTTATGCATGTATGCTATTTTAAAAAGCCTCTTATAGACGAACAGGTTTTCTATGACAAGTTTTTATATGACAAGTTTTAATACGCAATTGCACTTGTGTATGCACAACAAATTTTCTATGACAAGTTTTTTATGAACAAGTGTACTTGTCATAGAAAAAATTGTCAAAGTTGGGCGTACAGACGAGCCTCTTACAGACGAGCAAGTTTATTATGACAAGTTTTTATGTGACAAGTTTTAATTGTTCGTCTGTACGCCCAACTTTGACAATTTTTTCTATGACATGCAAGTACAGTTGTTCAAAATGAAGTACATGCACTTGATTTTGAACCAGCGTTGTATCCCTGACTGATTGGCAATAAAAAATATGCTCAGGTCAAGTTTAGACGGATCGGAGTTTATGGAATACTAACTCGGAATCATATAGAGATAGAAACAAGAAAAGGACTAAATTACGTTATTATTACATTGCAATCCTTACGTTATTATTAATTACATTACAATCATTACATTATTCACAAATGAAATTTTAAAATGGCGCCTGTTAGCGGGATAACGTTTTCCGCTGTACGACTACATCGCGAACTGGAAACTAAATTCTCAAAGTAAGCTTGCTGGCACGTTCACGCGAGCAAATAAAACTTGTGAAAGAAAAAAAAATGTCATAGAAAATTTGTTGTATATACACACTTCAATTGCCAATTAAAACTTGTCATATAAAAAATTGTCATATAAAACTTGCTCGTCTGTAAGGAGCTTAAGAGGCTTAAGTTTTGTAGTTAATGGAAAAAAATAGGATAAAACACCAAAGCTTTCAATTTATTTAATATTGTAATGTCGTTCATAATCATACTGTTAATTAGATCGGTTTATCATGGTATAGAAATTGGTTTTTCACACTACAGTGAATTATTGCCGGCGGTATTATAACCAGGCAATGGAACCATTTTAGCTGTACCATCAGGGAATATCTTGCACGTTTCCAAGAAATAGGTCCGAATATTGGCCAGTAAGATTGGAATGCTAAAAGAAAAAAGGCCCGGCGTATGATATTATTGTCTTTCGAGACGCAAAGAGTCTAGTTGTTTGGTAAACTTCGAAGCGTCTAGATAAAGAGTGTTGAGAGGCTTTCGATCACCTTTTTAAATTACTTCCAACGTTTATTGTCAGTTTAACAGGATTGATACTATCACAGGCTTAACTTTTTCTGGATTAGGTTATTTTTCTGACAAACAGATTAAGCCAGCGCCAATAATCAAGTAGCTTACATCATCGCTCCTTATATTCAGCTTATAGTACTCACATTTCTGTTAATGCGTGTGTTTTTTTGCAATATGGTTTATTCGTACACCAGATATTTGGGATTTCTATCAATAATGATGAGGGACGCCGGAGAAGGAGGCGAGAGGGCATTCTCCCCCCTTTTCGCTTTGATTTTAACCCCATAACAACGTGCGCTTTCTTGCGCTATATATGATTTCTCTACGCCTGAATGATACCAGACGTTTTCGTTTAAAGGCAAAAAAAGGGTTATCGTGTACAAAAGTACCACCCGTGGTACCACCCAGGAGTCCTTTTTATTCAGCAGGTTATATAATGGCGTACGGTAATGCATGCACATATACATACCAGTTCTTCATCGTAGTCTCGCACTTCTGTCGAGTTGTGGTAAACATTCGTAGCATCATGTTTTTGGAACAGATGGGACCACGTATCAGTTCACATTGTATGTCAACGAAATTTTTCTTGCATTTAGAAGATGTTCCAAAGGTTATAGAGGCAAGTCTCGTGAACGTGTTGCTAAAACTGCTCGTACGGAGTTGATAGAAGTTAGCGTTTACCTTTGGGTGCTAAAAAAATTGCTGTACTTAATAAGACCCTGGGTACGAGGTTGAATATTTTTAGGCAGCGCGTGGGAATTCATTGCCAGAATTCTTGGATTTATTTCAAAATTTCTGCTGATGACACATTTTCTTTCTGACACATTTCTGCTCATTATGGCTATTTTTTTTTATATGGTGCGCCTGCATGCACGTGTTACAATATCTTAAATAAAGCTGTATTCTCACACCGAAAAAAATTCCTCGGAATGGAACAGAAAGTTTTCGCAGGAAAATTTTCCGAATAAAATTTTAAAATATTCTACAACCTGCGCCTAATGCAATCTGCGAAAAAGCTCCATTCCGAGGAAATTTTTTCGATGTGTGAATCCATTCACTGCATTTCGAAACGTGAAACAGGCACACATCTTGATCACAAGTCGACAGGGCCGAGAGTAGCGCGATAATTGGGGACGGATATTCAATTTTTTTTTTGCCCATCGAATTTCTTTCAAAAACGCGTATATGCTAGGTGCCAAAAGTATGATACTACACATAGTGCAAAAACTGAACTTAAATGATCCTTTAATGAACATACTATACAGCTAGGGTGTCCCAGTAAAAGCGGAACCCAAATGAATTATTATGTATTCGCTAAAATTATATTCACACTAATGTCGTTATTTTTTCGAGTAGTTTAAAACTTATCAAAGCTATTTGATCTCCTAGAGGCACAGCTTTGTTTCAAACTACTTTTCAAAAAAATAACGATGTCATTGTGAATATAATGTTAGCGTATACATAATCAATTAATTCGGGTTCCGCTTTTACTGGGACACCCAGTACATTTACATAGAAGGATAACCTCAGCTCTAATGGATATGATACCAGCATGCAGTTTGGAGGTTAATTTTCATTTTCAAGATGATTTTTTCTCTACTTAGGAGCTAGGAATTAACATAGGGTCTCGTTTGAACAATTTATGACTTATAATGGATTCTATGAATACAATAGGTTTTTCTTTCATTCTGTTTTGCGAGATCTGATAGAATGGACTTTTTTTTCCTTTGAAATATAGACAATCAGGCAAAACTCGTGAGCTTGACTATGAACACATTTGAAGAAAAAGCGATCGCAACTGGTAACCAATCGCGCGACATTTTGCACTGCATGAAATGAATGGAAAGGTACCCTATGAGTTTAGTGAATAAAAAGGGAGGGTCAACTCCGCTTCCTACTCATTTCCTGTTAGACGTTCATTGTACCAGTCAGTACCATTTTGTAATAAAAGATTAGATTGGTTAGTTGGAATCTGCATGTCACTAGGCTAAATAGTGTTTCCATTTCGATATGGGAACGAACTAAGAAAAGAGACTGGGAAATTCAGAAAAAACAGTTATCCAAAAAAGATTGTATCAACGGGTATCTCATAGGAACACGAATTCTGTTTTTGTAAATATTTCTCTTTCGCAAAATTTGTGAAAAATTTTTTAAATACCTTTGGCACCTAATATACGTACAAGGGAAATCCGTTGGATCCGATAGATCGAACGAAAATATATGAATATGCAACCTTCGCCGACTTATTGCATCTAGTTCCACAATCCACCCTGTAAGTAGAAGACTTTTTCCGAAATTAATTTTGTAAATATTTTCTCTCGATTCCGAAGAATACTCGATCCCTACCTTATAGTTTGACTTTGGGCATATGTCACCTGGAATATTAGGAGTCTCGACGCAGTATGCGAAATCCATGAAATTTCTTACGATTTTGGTGCAGTTACTGATGGTTGCCATTTGAACGGAGAGCGGACATGATTTCTTCACCCTAGCGCAAGCTTGTTCTGTTCGTGTGACATTGAATGTTACAGTCGCGCCAAGGAGCGATTGACCGTCGTCCTTCACGCACCGCGCAAAAGTATTGGAGCAAGCGTACTCGCGGACTGCGTCTTCGCAGGCTTTCGTTACCTCCTTGAAGTTTTTTAGGGACATCATCATAAGTTCGACTGATTTCAGGCTAAGCTTTGACATGGTGTCGGAATAACCCGATCCAAAGACTTTGTAGTTGATAAGATTTGACGGGCATTGCTTATTGTTCGGCAAATCGTAGCAACCTTTTGTTGGGAGGGAGCCGTTCAGCAAGAGATAGCCTTTGTCAGGGTTTGAGCTGCTGACAATGTACAAGAAAGTTGAAAACACAACCAATTTCGTGAAAGCCATGATTTTATCCGTTTATACTTTTGACACCTTCCCTTTCAAAGATGCGCCCGTAATGGTAAAGAGGTTTAGTTCGAACTCATATTATGCAACTTTCGTGCATGGTACAAGCGCGACCAAAGTTCCCTCACCTAATGATCATTGGTTATCTGCTTGGGGACAAAGTTGAAATGTTTTGACTAGTTTTCATTTGTCATTAAACGCATTATTAACGCTGCATGTACGCGCGGGGCTGATTTGTTATGAATTTGAAAATTTTCTTGAATGGGCTTGTACTTATAGAAATTAAATGAAACTATAATAAATTCAACGACTCAGTGTAATTTTATAGAGTTCAAATTTCGTTCGCAAGCTATTTTATATCTTTTGCAAAGGACACACACCCTTCCATCCAGAAAATGTTCGGTCTAGTTTGTACGTCGCATTTTGATTGCGTCGAATACAATAAAATTGAAACAATAGATTATATTAAGATGACAAACTTCATTATCTTCTTACATAATAGTCTTTTCCAAAACAATTCTAACATAATAAATAAGTTATCAAATGAAAGAATTCTTCAGGACGTTGCACCACGGTCCGCCGATGAGTAATGCGTATAACTTGGGCACTAAGTTGCTCAATAGATTTCACTGATTATTGCCCGTATTTAAAAAAATTTACTCATGCACACCCATACTCCATGACTGGGACACGGAACTCATTTTATTAATGATCAATGCGAAAATCATTTTAATCAACGGAACGACTTGAGGTAAAACACTGAAAATCAAGGTTTTATTTATTGTTGTCCTCCCATAAGTTATTATAAGTGCATGGTGTGGGCACAGCCTGTAGTTAGGATGTGGAGTCCTGGATGGACAGTAATGTCCTTTTGGACAAACGAATGGCACGAAGTCTGTCACGTTCCGATTGTTACGACATCATTCAATGAGGTCGACTTTGAGTGTAAATTTTTTGACGACGGGATCATGTATAAAAAGATAACAAAAGGTAGTGTTTGTAGATATCATTAGCAGATCAAAGAAACATTTCCCGCGATGTTTTGTCCTAGCACGATCCTATCGCCCGTGGAGCCATCCATAACATATACCTAGAAATAGCCATAACAAGCATATATCCGTTTTCATATTTATGAAAACGGAATCAAAACAACATTCTTAAACACAAGTATATGGCGTTACAGTGATAACAACAATGACGAATAAGGTCATGGTGGAAGAAAAGAGTAGCAGCAACCTGGTATCTAAGATTAATACTTTTCCCTGTACTGGGACTGCGCCTTGCAGGGAAAGATAACGGAATCGGGGTTTTGCATGACTAAATTCTAAAGTTCAAGGGTCCACTAGTGAAAGATTTTTTCTTTTACATTGAAAAGTACAAATATCTCTTCTTTCAATATTACAGTAATTGACTCTGAGTGAAAAGAGATGTATAAATGTGCAGTAATCATACTAACGAGCATCAGACACATGCACCCAAAACACAAAATGGCGGAATTTTTTATAAATGGGATAACTAAACAAATTTTATCGTTACAGCAGTGGAATTGGTTTCATTTCAGATTGACCTAGAACAATTAAAATTGGTGCAATAATAATAGTTTCGTGCAACGCAGTAAAATTCAATATATCTGGCGAAGTTTAAACGCATTGAAGTTGTTAGGAAAAATATGGCCCACATCGGAGCTTGCATGGGTAGAAGTAATGAAATGCTGATTTGTAAAGACAGAATAAAGGTATTGAGCATGCGAATATTTCTTGAAAATATCTCGCTTTGGAGTGGTTCTTAACGATAAGATAGTTACTAGGTTCTGATGTAATATGCAGTGGTCAATTGATCGTAATAGATTTTGGAGATACGATTTGGTTTTCAGGGACTCCGGAGCAGGGGGCAGTTGACCCCTTGCCTTTTACGGGATTACATTCATGTATATAGCTTTAGAAGTGCAACCAACAAACATCAAAAACTCAAAGACACTGATATCATCTTAAAAAGAGAAAATAGGAAGAAAAAAGTTCAAACGTTTTGCAATCATTCTCTAGTATGCGTGGTTACAGAAGTGCCTTTTCACGAAATCCCCTAGGCCTTGCATTATTCCGGCGTTGCCAAGGTGGTTTTATGTACCGTGATAACATGTATATTATTCTCAGTAAGGCTGGTCAGGATTTCCACTAGCAGAGAAATGGTTCGCTAGCGAACCATTGAAAACGAGAGGAGAGTCAAACTGAATCAATTCAAAAGTGTAGATATGTAGATATTTCGCAAACGAGCTTTCTATGCAACTGGAAATCCTAAAGGCGATTCTCCATACGTCAGTTTTGCTCGCGCGGGCAAAGCGCGCTTTGTTTTTCAGGTTGCATGAGTAGATTATCAAAGGCTGCTTCGAATGTAATCGAAAACAGCCTTATTTCCCGAGCGCCTTGAAATTTAAGTTCAAGGAGTTCAAGGGCCATATTCTGATCAGTGCGACAAATTCTGATCAGTATATTCTATAAACGAAGCCTGAAGAAGCTTGGCGAGTGGGATGAAAGATAATTGCAAATTATCGCCATGTGGTATGCGCGGCATTCCAAACGCAGGACTCTACAGTCTACGCTTGGCCTTAGGTCATTACAGTTTTTATTATACACAAACGAAGTGACAGATTTATCATAGGAAAGATAAAGGTGTACCTTATCTTTATGTCGATGATACTAAAATTTACCGTCAAAACTGCGGCTAATTTCCTGTAACTTTAAAGTATCAGAAAATAATTTATACAATAGATAAATTTCTATTTAATGGTCTGGGTGGGTCAACAGAGGGCAGAACCTTTAATTAAACCAGTTAAATTGCAAATAGTTTGTAGTGACACATGTTATCTGTGATTAAAATGTTAATGAAAATGGCTCTTGTCATAAGACGCTGATGTGCTCATTTCAAAAGATCTAGAGCAATCAAATTCCAAAAAGATTCTATGTCTCTGAAATGGTAACAACGGATAATGGCATTATAAACCGAAAGCTGCACTAGCTGCAATCAGTTCACCAAATCGAGCAATTTCTGCTGCAATAGATAGTCCCACAGAAATAATTGCATTCTAAAATTAGGTTTCCACAGGTTAAATTCTTGCAGCCTTGGCCACTCGTTGGCTGGACATTCGTATCGCCACTAAAATTTTAGGTTCGCGTACCTTTATGCTTGTAGAATAAATTATACGACTATGTCTTATAATGCCAGGCTTTTTCTATCAAAACAAACACTACAAAAGTCGGGCACGGCTCAGATTTCTCTTGATGTGCGCGCGCCTGTGCCCATGCATTACACACCATTGAACTATTAATAGAATAAAATAATCTATTTTAGCTCAATGTTTCAAACATTACAAAATTTTTAAACGCATTTTACTAATAAACAAAAAACTCTTATCAAACCGCAAACCCTTATCTAATTTATAATTACCATGATGAAATATCCAAAAATCACATACAAATATTATTTACAATTTCTCCTCATAGGCAAAGGTATTTTTAAGAATTCGTCACGATCGTATACTCAATTCAAGGTAGAAGGGCATCTCAGAAAAAAGTATTTTAATAAAGTACGTTACGTACACGACAGTCTGCTAATCGCAAACAAAAAAAATTATATATAGAAATGCTATTAGAAAACTTAAATTACACGTCAGTCGTTGAAAGCACTCGTACGAATGCAATTACAACATTCAATATTAATCAATCATTCACATTCTATCATACAAATTATAGTTTATTGGCAGGAAAAAAGTTATCGAACTAGGAAAAATTGTTGCGAAACATTTATGATTCGCAGTGTTTCCACAAATGTTTCCCTGTTTGCCAACTCGTGAAACATTGTTGTGGAAGCAAAATTTGTTTCCTAATGTTTCCTATCAAATTCAGAAGCATTTTATGTTTCCCAATTGCGATTTTTGTTGCGGAAACAACATTGTTTCCTGTTCGCCCGTATGTTTCCAGTGCAAGAGTGCTTTTTACCAGATATGAGCAGGCGTCAAAGGAATTAATAAACACAAAAATGGCTGAAATTACGAATGTTAGTTGTTGTAAACGAACAAGGCAATAAAAAAATTTAAAGCGCGCGAGTGTGGAGAGATACCGAAACAGAGAAGCTGATAAGTTGATATGAAGCAAGAAACTGTGTGTGGGATGTCGGTAATAGATGTCGGTGGTAAGTGTACCAAAAAAAGGTAAAAAACACGCTCGTCACGCAAGTACTTCAATTGTACAACAGTTTCAAACATATCACAATCTCACAAAGTATATTTGTTATTTGGAAATAAAGCGAGTATACCCTAAATGCTGCGCATTAAAGCGACATGAGTTTGGTTACTGAATGTTGGTGGTCTGTGAGACAATAGTTACATATAGTAATAGGGTAAGTTATAGTGCATATCAGAGGTACTTCTTTTAATATTTTTTAATAATTGCAAATAGTAAAATAACGGCTCCTGAAAAAAAACATTTACGCTGAAGGGTAACCGTTATTAAATAATACTAATGGTACAAATCTGCATGGTGGCCTAGTGGTTAAAGCTGCGACCTACCGAGTTGTAAGCGTAGGTTAAAATCCTGCAAAGTAAAGATTTCATTTTTCCTACTGAAATTACTTATTTAATTTAAAATTCTTTGAAAAGGTTGGGTAAAATAAAAAAAACAGCTGTTGACGTTCCTCGCCAGCTGGTGAGCCTTGAATCTCGATAATTTATCATTGGATTTGTTTTATAAATTTAATAAAAACATAAACTATCGTAAATATTCGACATAGCCCATACAGACTAAGAAATATCACATGTTAATATATTTACAATACCATAACTAAATTTTATATATATATATGAACCTATATAAATGTATGACAAAGTTACCTAATACCCTGCCTTATAATGGACTTCGAGCCTTTTGCGACGGTGCCTTTTGACTTCTTTGACGTAGCATCAATTGCAAAACATTTCCACAATCGCAGAGTTTCATCAGCGGACGCAGAAATGACCGTTTGACCATCGGGACTGAGGACCATATGCAAAACACGACACGAGTGACCAGTTAATTCTGTAACTTTTGACATGCTAGGATATTTCCAGATCGTCAGTTGATTTTGAGCGTATCCATGACTTGACACGAGCTCCTTGTAGTTGTTTGACCAGATAATGGAACAAACCTAGCAACGAAGGAACGAAAAAATGTATAAATGTAAGTCGTATAATTAATCATATTAATTAATTATATAAATTAATAGTAATTAAAAATATTCAAATAAGACTTCACAGCTAAAACGCCCTATTATCAGAGCCCGGTCAGGTAATCTACACCATGAGTAGTTAATAACAATCGGTAAGGAACTATATATACATACTTTTCCGTCGAATACGAGTACGAGATTCGTTATTTTCGCGCCAGACTCGGTACTGTGCTTACGCTATCTCATGAATATCCTGGTCGTTGTTCTTTCGACTACGATTGTTACACGTTTTCACTGCTATAAAACCTGGCTTAGCAGTGTCCCATTTTTTCAACTTCATGACATTATTTGTTTGAAAAACCACATATATAGAGCACAGCTTCACACATTACTCCCGGCAGCATGCTCAACAATTATTAGCGATCAGGCATATCGCCAAAATCATAGTTATGCCTAAATATACCTGGCGCCAATTAACAGGCTTGGAATTGTGTCCAGATATCCAGTCAACGACCACTTCAAAATTCTTGACGCAAATTTTGATAATGTGCGTTGTTTTTTTATGACACTCGGGTCTTCCCACAAGCAACGTACAGGAAGGTGAAAGACACGTTAGGATTAAGTTGTTGTGTTTTAAATTAATACTCTTATTTTCGAAGCACGTCTGTCTAGTATACTTATAATCTTGCGGTTGAAAACCCGCACAAGTGCATGCCATAAATACGAAACAATCGGAACGATTTAAACCACTTGAGGCAGGTAGCTATATGACCAGTCTGGAAAAATGTAGTTATCAAAGGTTCAAGCGGCTATTCGTCCGATAGGATAGGTCCAGCAGCTTAGTCGTGCCTTGGTTTTTTAAACTTGTTTTGACTAATATATATATACATATACAATAACGTCGTCGCTGCCAAGTTTCAAGAATTTGGCTAATGAATTATAACACTCGACAAACAACAGTTTTGACTTTTTTCAGTCCCAATGCACGCGGGCTTTCCAATTGAATATTCAGATTTAGTTATATTTCTTACTATAAAGTAAATATATATGGTGTAGCTATATCACGCCCGGATGAAACTATCATCTGTACGAATAATTAGGAATGCGTGCATGGGCAAACAACATCGGATATAATCGACGAAACGATTTTTCTATGGTTGGGTATTTACAAACATATGCAGACTGTAATGAATTAACTCTTCAGGTGTACTAACCTGTGACTTTGTATCAATGGCATTTAGGCAGGTTCCGGTAGCAGCATTCCAGAATCTGATATGCCGATCAGCTGTTCCACCACCACTGGCAATCACATTCCTTTGAAACGGACACCAATCTAAAGCCTTTTAATAATTAAGTAACAACGTCAAAATAGAATAGGCAGCCGCGTGGGCTACAAGTATACGTGACCAGAATTTGCTAAAAATCCCCGAAAACATGAGCCAATGCATGCACCTACCTTGACGGCAGCTTGGTGATCTGTCAGCGTGAATAACGGCGAATTCATATCGCCACTCGAGCTTACATTAGTGTCCCAGATCAAAAGAAGATTATCGTTTCCACCACTCGCTAAATACTTGCCATCGCGTGACCATTTCAATCCGCACACCTCCTGCGTATGACATGCCAATGTTGCCACGTGATCATCAGCAACTCTGACGTCATGATGGTGGATGGCACCACTACGACTTCCACTAAAAAAATTGAAAAATCTTAAAGATTAAGATTCAACTCGACGAAGCGAAGTCTAAAATTTGTATCTTACATAAAAGTGAGCATTATTGAGCAGGGTGGTTGGAGTTAACACTAAAATTCAAGGGAACTTTTTAAAATTTCTATTTGCCCAAGTCAGTTGAGCAATTTTTATCGGACGCAACATAGCAACGGTGATGACGTGACAGTACCTGGTCAGAATGAAGGAATTCCAAGATAAAGAGCCGACCCTTGCTGCATGACCAGTCATTTTTCGGACACGTTTCTGCTGTTCCACATCCCAAAGCTAAAGAAACAAGTCACTGTTAAAAACAAACTCATGTATCTACATATAACGTACACCCCAAGCGTCTCATTTGCGTCTTCTCATATTTTGATTGTGTCATAATTCTATAGCCTGAGCCTTGGCAAGCTTGACCTAACTTGGTGATTAAAGTTGTATTTCACGCTTTCGTGCAAAAATTATAAAGAGACCGCGTTATAGAGTTTGAAATTATAATTATTTATAATTTGGCGTCAGAAGAGCTTCGACAATATACGTACGTATACGTTTACACCGCGATATAATAGCTTTATACCTGCACAGCGCCATCACTATTTCCAATTCCTAAATATCTCCCTTCTTTTATCCATGAGACAGAACCCACGTAGCACTCCGGTGAGTCCATTTGACAAAGTTGTTGTATACTTCCCGTTCCTGCATCCCATATATAGACAAAGCCACCAAGAGCAACCGCTAAATGATTGTTACAACTCCAGTCCAAGAGATTGAGATCTAATGAAAATATTTAACAACTTGTGACAATGCAACCTTTTTGGGACGACAATCAGATTCGACGTCTTTGACGCCTTTGCGCCCTAGGATAATTGCACAACATCAGCTTAAAACAAATATACTCATGCAGATGCTCATAAATTATATATATATATATATATATATATATATATATATATATATATATATATATATATAAAAATATATATATAAATATATATATATATATATATATATATATATATACTGCAGGAACTTACAATAGTCATCAATAAGGTCAGGAGCATCCAGTATTCTTTCTGGCGCGGGTGATATAAATCTGGAATTCTTCTTTGCTGAAGTCCCTGGGGTCTTGTTTTGACAATACAAAACCCTTAAGTCATTCAAATAGCCTAAAAAAACCGAATGTTTTAAAAATACAATCAAGAAACAACCGAGAGTTTTTTGAATATACATTTAATCTATAATGTACTTAACGCAAATTTCAGATTTCCACAGGTCTATGGAATATTCTTTAAAACATTTTCAACAATTAGTCACAAATTTGACGTAGTGAATTTTACCTTATCGAACACTCTGTTATTACCATTTGAAATCTAAGCACTGACTCCTACTAGAAATATTTTTCAGTTTCCTAATATATTTTTCAGGTAAATGTTTGGGCAAAAGCTTCTTACTATTGACACTGGGCAATAAAAAGAAATTTTGACTATAGCTTTGGCGTGTATTATAGCAGAAAATTTGAGGATGCACGCAGGCAAGTGGAGATACCACTGGTTGTACATTTTGTAATTTAAACGAATCTTTAATAACTGAAGAATAAAAATAGAATTTAAAAAGAAAGAATTTGCAATAAAAATTGAATTTAAAAGGCAAAATTTGGTCTTAGAAGAAGTTTAAATATTAATAAAGTCATGTGTACAAAATTCTTCTCAACCAATCATAGAGCTTCATTTTACCGGAAATGCAGCTTGCGATATAATAAGATATTATATTACTTAAAAACAGTTATTAACAAAATCCACGCGTGCGGTAATATACTACCTTAATTAAAAATATATACATACATTTTTTTTGGGAGCTTAAAAAATCAATATAGTTCAATTATCAAACGGATATAATAAACACGATCGAAAGACGTGGGGCACATCTCAAAACCAAAATTAAAGTCTCTTCCATTTGATCTTGCGAAAGAATTCTTCGTAAAATGAGCGCCCAAAACCTATCTTGGCGCGACTGCGTTTTTCTTAGTACAAAAATGTATCGCCCAGTTGGACTTTCATCGAAAGCGCTTTACATCAACTACGTTGTCGCTTGCGCTGTAAATATCATTATTTTTCTAAGCACGATATTGCTTAACGCGACCACAATCTTTGCATATTGGAAGTCCACGCAACTAAAAAGGAAGACTTCATATTTCCTAGTAATGTTGTTATCGATCGTCGACTTAGCGAACGGCCTGTTTGGGCAATCTTGTTTCGTATTAATATCGATAAAGACCCTTATTGGGGATCCTCTTGAATGCGGTGTTTACACAACGGCAATGCTAATGTCATGCAGCTTCGCATCTCTGGCTATCGCGACTTTATATTTATTAAACATCGAGCGATACTTGAACATTGTTCATCCTTTTTTCACACGAAGTAAGGTAACAAAAAGCAAACTTTTGATGGCCGCTTCGATCCTATGGGGTTTGGCAATAGCCATATCAATACCGACACGTTTCTCAAACGTCGTCATAGGGACCACGTTACTTGCCGTCGTTTTGTCATCCGTGTATTTCTACGTTAGGATATTCATCGCGAGTCGCGAGGCATCCTGCGAGTCCCGGACAAGCGGATCACGACAATTACAAGATATAAAGCTCGCAAAGTCATGCGCCATTGTTGTTGGGTGTACGTTCCTATGTACAACACCGTTTGCGGTTGTCAACTTCTTGATGGCACAAAGGCAAAGCTACGTTTTGTTCATCGCGCTTTTCTGGGCCGCCACAATGAGCTTCGCTTCCGCATCCCTAAATTCGATCATATTTTTTTGGCGAAATCCAATGTTGAGAAAAGAAGCAAAAAGGATCATTTCAAGACTTGACGAATAAGATCTCATCATAAACTATGGAATATTTAACGACATGTATGATATCCATCATTATATACTTTGTAAAAGCAGATTGTCAAAATAATTAATTTGAAATTGGTATAGTTTCAAAATCAGATTCATCTCTTTTGATCAATTCTATTTGGTAAAAACGTGATACGATGATGCGACGCGGATTTTCAGTATTCAGAGCAATTCAATTTGGAAAGGAATTTGAGAGCGGCATGGGCACAAGACAAGTCAAAATCTTAGCTATCTTCGCTCGCCGGTAAGTATCAAGAATATCATAATATGACCAGACTTAAGACCAATACATGCTATAGGCGACAAATCGCTTTGTGTGTCCAGTTGGGCGACGATGTTGATTAAAATCATCGTATGCAAGAGCTATACTAATAGGCCGTTGTTGGCACAGGTCGCACAAAATCAAACTGGTTCGATTATGTGCGACGTGTTGCAGCAACAAATTGCATCGGAGCGGCAAACTTTTCGTTCAAATTTCCCTGTTCAGACCATGATATTCGTTGCTAGTTTTTTGAAAAACTTTAAAATATATTGTAAATATCACCTCTGTGATATCACGTCGATTTTGCGGATCACGTCAGATGTTTGGTTTCAGCTTTCTCAGTGGGGATTGAGTCTGACTCGTCCCCAGTCGCTTTGGTGTTACGCAAGTAAACATTAGAGATTTTTCCTTGCCACTGAGCTATAAATATCACTGTTATATCATTAAATATCACTGGGACTGCAGAGGAGTCTGGATGTCACCACTGATCTGATTTTATACTGGATACAGCAACTGTATACACGAATCGATACGCATATTTTTTAGTATTCCTGAATAGTATTATATCGGTTCTTAATCACTATCTCAGTTGTGGGTTGATAGTAGTCTTCTCGCAGACTGAATAAGGGGGCCGGAAATTATAGGGGGAAAATTTCTGAAATGAAGGATTGATGTTACCGAAATAATTTTCGGTCTAGGGATTTTGGTGCTAATTTCTATATTAGCTATTATATAACACGAGTATTTGAAGGTTTGTTGAGCACTATATAGCCTATATGCAGCTAGGGCGTTTAAATAATAACTATATAATAATATAAGTAATAATAATAAATATAAATTTATAAAGCGCAAATTATCATAATAATTTTTAACAAACGTTCGTATTAATTAAATCGTAGAGAATGCTTTTTTGAACTGAAATTTTAATATACAACTACCTTATTGCATTAACACTTTTCATCTTGGTAACTTTACACAGATAGAAATTGATCTTTTGTCTATTCAAATAGACATGTTAGCTGGAAAAAATATCTTGTTCACATGCAGTGGGGAGGCCGGGTTGTTTGAATTATCAAATTTACAAAACATTTAATTCATCTACCAGTTGTGAATCAAACATCTTACCAAGCATGCAAGTCATGCAATTATCCCCATATTAAGGTCTGCATGATCATTGATATGATCATTTCAATCAAATTGCATCTCAAGTCTGGTTTCAGTGATATCACTAGTCAAAAACAATGAATTTCAAAAGAAAAGAATGCAGAACAAAAATATATGTATAAATACGCCCCACCCCGTGATTTAGGTGGTCATGCCGATTTCATAATGACATAAATTTGTCAACATTATTTTAGTCTAAATTATGGTTGAAATGAATACAGGGAGTTAGGTAATATAAATTCTACATAAATACTCAGGTCATGGTCAAAGCTGTGTTTATTAGGCATATTATAAAAGGCATATAAGCTAATTCAGAAATTGCAGGACTTAACCTATACCATTTCACAAATTCAACCCAATTTGGGGAGGGATGTTAATCCTAGCTGCTGCCCTGACCTCTAAGGTCATTAAAGAGTCATTAGAAAATTAAATTTTACTTGAAAAATCAATATTTTTTGCAATATCATTGTGAACAAGTTGCTTGATGAAAGCAAACAGGCTATTGCCAGTAAAAAAGGTTTATACAATTATATACTAAAGTTAAATTCCAAGCTTGCATGACATATATTAACATGTTGACAACTAACCCACCAAAGTAAAATTCAGTGGCGTAGCCAGCAACGATAATTGGGGGGCACATATTCATATATTCATGTTAACAGACTGTAAAGACAATTGATTTGAAAAGAAATTAATCCTGCGTATCACGAATATATGAATATGTGCCCCCCAATTATCGTGCTGGCTACGCCACTGGTAAAATTTAATGCTTGCATGGCCTAAGGCCCCCTTTTTCCTTTATACCCAAACACACTAAACACAGAGCTTTAATCAGCTCTGACACCAGTAGAGTACTGAAAAATATAACAAACAAACTTCATTGTTTATTAAGATTGTTTGTGAAAAGTCATTGGTGGTAAATTATTGATCACACAACATATATAAGCACCCTAAATACTCGTATTTCAACCCTATTAAAATATAAACAAGGTGATCAACATAAGATTTAACAGACAGTAGACTTGCCTTCTCTTGGTACTGGAGCTTTGTTTGAATAGGTGAGGATCTTGGCATTTAGTTCATTGGCACACAAATTTTCGGTCATAGATTTTCTAAACTCTGCCTTTGACGGACTTCCTTCATTTTCCTGCTCGGTTTCCTCTTTGCTCATGACTTTGTAATAGGACGTATCCAAGTTCATTGAACTCCTGTTAGGTATAAAGCGATCGCCCGACGGCGTTTTTGGCGTTCTTTGCTTACCCGGCGTCTTCTTGTTTGGAGATCCAGAAGGAGTTTTATTTGTACTTCGGTTGACAAGTTTATTTGGCGTCGAGGTCTTGGCAGAAAGTGCAATTTCTTCCTCAGCTTTTCGTTGCCATCTTGGTTTTGGTCCATTCTTGATTGCTCCATCTAAGCGAATAATATCATTTATCTCTGTCTCAAAGTTGAAATGCGACATTATCAAGCTTTGTGGTCAATACGTCTTTAATATTTTTCGGTTTGCTAAGTTTTGTAGTCAATAAAAATCGCTTATAATACGAACAAACTTCACAAATCGATGTTTACTTCTCTTTGTATTTCAAATATTCCGCTTCGTCGTTCCACACAAAAGAAATGAAAGAAATAACACTTCTCTAAACGATGATTGGTCGATTCAAAAAATAGAACGATATTATTGGTTGTTGCTATTCAACAACCGTCACACAAAAGTCGCACTATGAAATGCATCACACGTGGAAAATTCTTTGTCTATATTCCCCGGTCGGTAGAAAGACATTACAGTATGTAACTCACTGGTTTTTAACATTACAGAATAAAATAAACTAAAAATAAAATAATCTAAAAATTTGAAAGCTTGAAAATTTTATACCTAAATTTTAGATAACGTTTATGTTCCAAAAAATGCCATAAATTGATAAAAAAATTTTTTAAATATATTACCGGCATTTGCACTCCCGGAACGTTTAACTAACTAAAGAAAGGAGCCTTTGAAGGCTTTGATGGAATCACAAATTTGATAAATCATGACGGTAAACAAAGAGATTGCCTTCGTGTTGTGTTTTATTACTTTGTGCGCTATATTGCAGCCAAGTACAGAAGATGAACCGGCATTTTATAAATTTGTGTTAAAAGATATAAGCGGGAAGGACGTTGATTTCGCGCAATATAAGGGAAAGGTGAATTTATAATTAGAGCCTATTGTTACATTATTAATATAAATATTCAAATTAAATCTTCTCGGATTTTGAAATACTTTAACTTTTATCATTACTAATATTTTTTGGTTTATTATTGAGTCTAGTTGTTGAAATCAATTTTATCATCTCAATAACTGGACAGCTTGATTTGGAGTTGAACTTGTGGGGCAATCTCTGTTATAAAGGAATAGTAATAAAATAGATCATAATGCTTGACTTGCTTCACAGCTTTGTACTGTAAGGATAACTCGTGTAACTAACTTTTCATGTTATGCAATATATTTGGACACAAATTTGGACATAAATAATTTGATTCCACAAGACACTGACACATTTATAAATGTTTCATTTCTTTGACTAAAGCATGGTATATCCAAACTGGGTCAGTGGGCAACACCCCTGTGAACTTGGCGAATGCCTTACAATTTGTGATAAGTTAGTTAATGTCAGCTAGCCAGGGCTGTAGCTAGACCTCCTAATCTGGGGGGGGTATATTCATATATACAGCATACAAGATTAATATATGAATAGACACACCCAATAAAGCTTCTAGCTATGGCCTTGCAGCTAGCAATTGACTGGATATTGCACAAATAATTTAAAAGACTATGGAAATTACTATTGGACAAATTACAAACCAATTAGGATTAGTGCTTATGGGCAAAGTTGTCTGCAAGTCAAAAGGGCATGCAGTGGCGTAGCCAGCCTGACGATTTTGTCCCGCTATGTAAATTTCGAGTTATTATAATTATTCATGTCTTTAGAAATCTATTGTTTTCACAGTCAGTGAACACAAAAATATTAGCATAGCAGGACAAATCAACAGGCTGGCTATGCCACTGAGGGCATGCATTGATGTTGGACATTCATGAAATCTGTATACTACACTTTTCATATTCAGTTTTTGTAGACATTATGGAATCCATATTATTATTTAAGAAGGCAACCCTAGGATGCAAATTTATCATGTGATCATGCAATAGCATTTTACCAGGGAATTACACTAAAACTGGCAACATGAGAAGTTCAATCTTGCATTGTAATGTGCCATGTGCCAATGTAATGTGCCATGTAATCTCCCTCTGAGGTAGTCCGCCCTGATAGTTGATACCTTACAAAGAAGGCATATACTTTTCTCACACCTCACTTTTATTTCTGCCATATGTTGCATATTCTGTTGATTGCTTATATTGCTGTTTACCTTACTTTCAAAGTACCACTCACACTTTTGAATGCAGAAGCTGTAGCATTCTTTCAAGATAAACTTTCAAGATAAAGCAGATACTAAAATAGTCACTTTGGTATATCATGAAAATTTACTAAGCATATTGTATTACAATTATTTCAAGTTTTTTAACTCAATTATTATAGGTCCTACTATTAGTGAATGTTGCAAGTGAATGTGGTTACACTGATGGTCATTACAGAGAACTGGTTCAAATCCAGGACGAGTTTTCATCACATGGCTTCACTGTGCTAGCATTTCCTTGCAACCAGTTTGGCCAGCAGGAACCAAACGACGACAAAGGCATTTTAAAATTCGCCCAAGACAGATACAACGTGAACTTTCCTTTGTTTTCGAAGATTGACGTTGGTGGTGAACACGCTCATCCGTTGTATGTGTACCTGTACCAGGTCACGGCCGACTACCCGAAGTGGAACTTCGGGAAATATTTAGTGGACAGAAATGGAAAAGCCGTTAAGTTTTTCTCACAGAGGATTACAGCGCGAGAAGTTGCTCCCTATATTGAATTGCTGATTAATAATAAGACAATAGATTCTTACCATACCGATTTGTAATAGCTATACATATGCATTGAAACCGTATTTGCAATTTACACCCCATATAAAAATAGGTCAAATTCTGGCCAGAATCCTATAATAATCCTTTTCTGAAGTATACTCTATAGGCAGTATAGTCACTATAGTGCTCAATAAATTTTATCGAACAAGGTAACAAAATGAACAACTTTAATTTCTTTTCGCTGAACGAAATATACATATGATAAGCGGCAAAACGCAGTTTATTTTAAACAGCCTAGCTGAATTGTTTTCAATTTTATCTAACTGCTGTGTTTCTTAATTATTGCATCTGCTTGGTCCAACAGCTAAAAAATGATAAAAATAAATTAAAATCGATCGCCATGTTGACTTGCGGAAAATGTATAAATTTGCCTCAATATAATATGGATGATTTCACCGCTTTTGATACAACCCTTTCAGTGCTCTTTCTTATTCATATTCTTTTCAACTCTCTCTTTAGTCACAAAGTCACCAAGATTATAGCTATATTTGGGCGTTACCATGACACCTATATCGTGTTTATCGTGTGTACGATAAATCAGATATGTGGTGATGGAAAGATACCCCGAGGGTAATAAGTATTGTTTTCATAATACAAATTCTTACCTGAGTAAATTTCACTGGCTCAAAAAAGGATTGGATAAATCTTCGCATGGTCAACTTGTAATTATACAAACTCATTTGTTCAATCACCTGACTGTATAAACAAAGATCTTCAAACATCTGTGGCACGTTTTCTTTCCAACTAAAAGAAAGTTATAAATGCAATGAAATGTGCTTGTGCATGGACCAATAGAACATTCCCTATAATGCATAAGGTTCCATACGCATGCAAAGTGTCTTTAGGCTAAGCCTAAGGGGATATATATATTTATTTAAATTACAGATTTGATGCAAATCAGTCCAGTTATACCGAATAACGGGGTAATTCTATACAGTCCATAATCACGATCAACATAAATCGATCAATAACACAGAGCTTATCATTTGAAAATGAGAAATCTCAAGCCATTTCTGCGAGACCTGCAGAGATACAGTGCATTCTCGTGGGCCCAATTCCAGTTACCCAAAGGGCAAACTACAACGTTTGGCTTCTTTATTCAGCTGAATAAAGAAGCCAAACATTGTTGTACTGTAGTTTGCCCTTTGATTTTGATTAATAGCTTTGTTGCAAACAAAGAAAACAAAGGTTAAAGTTATAATATTGTTCAGCTAATTTGTTCAGTAACCTGGCAACCCTGGAGAGAAACCCTCCGGCGTCCATGCATGCACGATATGCTGCAGTTTGATTTCATTCACGATATGCTGCAGTTTGCTGCAGCATGTAGGAATACCTATATATATATTGACAATCGACCATCCTTTTTAGCATGCAATTTGTCACCCAACCTCAAACGTTTTATGCATGCATGCACTTGAAACCAGTACGAAAACATTTTCTAAAATCCGAAAAATGATTATTTTGGCCGGATGACTAACCAAAAGTATCGCGCAGAATCCTGATGATAAGATTTTCGAATACATATAAACTAAATCCCCAAAATTATATTTGAATACTGATTTTCATTGCATATGACTATATACTATTCTGAGTTGCATTATCAGTGCATGTAATATCGAAATATGATGACAGCTATAGGTGTTCATCCTCTACTGCTATACTTTATAATTGTATGTCCCGTCGCATATCTTGAACAGCATTTAGATAATCAATTTGGCAACAATTGTCCATAAAATGCATTCGCCAACTCGGTCTCTTCCACTCCGAAGAAAAACTCTTTTGCCGCAGCGACGAACTCGTCTCGGTTGATCACGCCGTTGCTATTCGAATCAATGACGTCAAAGCAACGCTTAATTTCTTCGTCATTTATGTTGTGAGCAATAACATTGAAGTAGACTTTAAATTCTTTTTCGGATATGGTTCCATTGCTGTTTGTATCGATGCAATCAAACAGCATATCGTGGACTCCGGAGGGTTTCTCGCCTGATGGCGACAAGAGCACGTCGCTGGCGGCCTTGGCAGCTTCTTCCAACGGAATCTTCATACCAGGTTTAAGACTCATGAGATCGGCAACCTTTGCGAACGTCGCAGTAATTGCTTGGCATTTTTCCTCGGTGATATCACAAGTGTGTTCTATCAATCTTTTAGCCATGAGCTCAAAGTCTTCGCGTGAGATATAGCCATCGTGGTTCATATCCATTCTGTGCATACGTGTTCTCATTTTTCTCAAATGATAAGCTTTTTGCTGTTCATTCACGCTCATGTTGACGATGGATTGATTGGAATACGAGCTAGGACGCGCAACGCAAAGCGACGCTTATACTGAAATGACAATTGTCAGAGGTTTCAAAACGTATCGAGGCCACAGCCCTGACTCTTCTACAGTTTCTAACAAACAACCTCGTACCCAGGGTCTTTACTCGTGCCCTGGGTACGAGGTTGCCTAACAAAGCGATGAAAATTGATGACGCAAAGGATCATGGCAATACCCCGAGGCGCACCTTAGGTAAGCGACTGGAGACAAGTCAGGCCTCATCCGGCCTGTCGGCACGCCCACGTTACCAACGAACACGTGTTAAAAAAGAAGTTTGCAGCAAAGCATGATTCTCACGCCACTTACCTTCGAAGAGACTGTTGATGTGACTTGGATGTCACAGCACTGCTCAAATTCACAACCAGTCTCAAGATTTCTCGCTTAATCAAACTTCGTTCCTTTGAAGTGATCGCTTCACCTCGTTTGCCCTTGAGGAATTTTTCCAGAACGCTTCCAGAAGACGGAGTCTCGCTATTTGTGGGTCCGTTGGGCAAAGTCACAATTTTATCAGGGCAGTCAGTCTTACCGGCCGAGCCGGCTTCATTTGACTCTATTGATGCTTGCCGGACAACGTGATGTAGACCGGTGACATTGGATATGTCCATACACGACAGACAATGCGTGACATCATGCGATGCTTTTCCTTTTAGAATGTCTGTCGCTTCAGACTCCGGAATCGTTGATTCCTGCGGTATACTTGTGGAAATACCATTAAAATTCGCAGCCCACGATCCTTTGAACTGAGATTCGGCAACCTGAAATAACGGAACAAACCGCTGTGGATTTTGAATATATGTCCCCAGACAACTTCAACTTTTACAACACAAGTTATACAACGATCGAGTTTGGCGATCACTATTTTCAGAGCAATATCAGATGATGATGTACGGATTTGAGCTGTGTCACAGAGCAAGAAGTTTAAAAAATATCGAGCCATTGCAACTACATGGGATGAATGTGATGATATTATTACAGACAGAGAGAAAGAAGGGGGGGGCGTTTATGTTTTCAAGTGTTCTACCATGCTCATTAAATTCGAACACGCTATCACTTTATCGTATAGAATTCAGCGAAAACTATTTTAAATTTTTACCCAAAATAATGCCATGCAAATATAAATATAAATATGTACTGTACAAATGTTGAAATAGTAATGGTAATAAAAGCCAGCGCGGTAACGCCAGCAAATAGGCGGGGATAAATCCCTCGTTTAAATGGCCCTGTTATCTTTTAGTTTTGAATGGAAATGCACTCACCATGAAGAAGTCGGTTAGTTCACAGGGCAATGTCAATCCCAAAAACTCGTTTCCTCTGGCGGAACTCGCGGTCTTCACTTTTCTGCCATATTGATGCTCCAGAGGGGAGGGGGTCGGTAGGGCAGATGATCCCGATGTGTGACTTTCAGCCAGGTCTAAGGACAGTGGACGGGATTCTGGGATTGGTGGTCTGAAACACGTAAAAACAACATGACTAAAGAGGAATGGGAGAATTTCAGTGAAAGGAAATATATTTGCCAAAGATTTGCAAAAGAGCGATCGATGAATTGAAAAAAATAACGCCTCAGAGTTTCACAGAATGTGGTGAAAACGATAATCTCTTCTGATTGAAACTGCAAAACGCACACAGAGTGTTGGAGTAGCTTTACACTAACTCATGGACGCTAAAAGATAACAAATATTTCCTAGAAACCCCGCTTACCCAACGATGGCGAACGATTGATTAAATCCACCGATTCGCGATTCAATATCTCTGTTGATACTTCGTTGTCTCCGTAAATTACTCAAAGCCGAGTAACCGTGTGCATCGCGAAACGATGTATAGACTGGCATCATATCCCCGATTTCGACGTCCGCCGGTGACGTTGGGCTCATTGGAACGGACTGAAGACTCCATATGGACAGCGACGTCACGCTTTTCTTGAGGCGTCTTCCACGCGGAGTGTAACTTGAACTCGCCGAGCTCGCGCTCCGCGAATACGCTTTCCGCGGGAATTTCTTGCCCAATTCGTCGACCGATGTTCCAATGTCTCTCACGTGATCGTTGCGGCTCACTAAGGATGCCATGTCACTCAAGCCATCGCTAACACTCATCTGGTCTAAATACGACCCATCGAAAGCGTCATTCTCATCAGTCTTTGCAAGGCTTTTCAGGACCAACGTTTTGTTGTCCAGTAACATCACCTCGGTATTGCTGCCAGTTATCAAAGCTCGTTGTTCGTTACCTGGAGAGTTGATGGAGTAATCACTTCGAAACATTTGACGATTTGCGCGTGCGGGAAAGTGCCCGGTGCCTTCGGTTGTGCCAGAAAAGCTTGCGCTACGGGCATCAGCCGTGATGGCCAGCCGGGGATCTACTACACTTCCCTTTTCGTTTAAACTGGAGCTACGCGTGCGGTTTAGCTCTGATTGTCTTTTCCGTATCGTCTTCTCGTATGTTTTTTCCAGGTCTAATTGTAACGGGAGGTTGTCGTCGAGGCTTGTCTGACTCTTATAGCTTCCAAAACTTTGCGAGGTCTCCATGGACGAAAGTGAACGATAACTTGATTCGCTCACACCGCTGGAGCTGCGCACGTGACGCACTTCGTCGCCACCATCGGTCATAACGCGTGATCGTGGCGTGCTACTCAGCGGACTAACGTTTGTCTCTTCGGGTTCTACTTTTCCTTCCCTTGCTGAAATGAAGAATAGTAAAATATTGAGGTTTTGATGGAATAGAACAAGAGAACGTCCATTACAGGTGTTAAAGCTCTCTTAGACGGTGGGATTTTTCATGCAACTTGCAAAACAATTCTACTTTTGAGAGATGTTAGATTTGGTGACTTGTGTTTATTACACTTCATATACGTTTCTCACACCTCCATTTTGAAGACTTTTCACTAATTTGCATATTTTAATTATGAAAGGGTGAAATCCATGATTAATTACGCTGCATCATAGCCTATGATAACTGCAGTATTTTACTCTGATTACAAAAAGTATCTTAATTATTGATTTAATTTCCTGTTTTCCGGTTTGTAAAAGGTCTATTATATTTCCTTTCAGGGCAATCCAAAGGCCCTGTTACACGGTGCAATTTTGCTTGCAAGTTTCAATGCAATTCTACTTATAAGCTGTAATTGCATTGGTCTTTTTGAAGGTAAAATTTAACGTAGCATTACAACACTCCAATTACTATTTGAGATGCAAAGAATTTCGATTCCTTCTTCCGAATTTTCAGGCAAAAATATTTACACAGCACACAAGCGTTGGACCGTATAAATTTGACAATTGAAATGACATATCTTCGCATTAACCGAAAGATACAGGTCCTGAGATTCGTTTTCCCAACTTAACTCACTTTGTGAAGAACTTGTACTCTTAAGGATTCTACTAATCAACGAATTTTCTCCCAAGGAACTCTCGTATGGGCCGAGGTTGATCGTCTTCATTTGGTTGCCGTGCAATCCAAGACTGCCGTCACTGTCGGCGGAATATCTGGATGCATTTGAAGCGCTGCGCGGATACGACTCACTCCGTGCTAACATCGCCGGACTATTCTCCTTTCGAGACGATGGTCGTTTCTTTCCCCCCCGGCTGCTGTCATCGTCGACACCGCCTTTCTTCGCAGCCGCGGTTTCTGCAGGGGGTGGCATAAGATGTTCCGGAATCGACGCTTTCTTTATCCTCTCGAGTAACGAAGGTGTCTCGGCCTTTGGCTCGACTTCCTCGTTAGAACCGGTTGATTTTTCCTCCGACAAAGACATGCTGCTTCCGTCGTTGTGATCCCCGCTAAAGTACATTGCTTGTTTTCTTTCCTCGAGCATGCTAAGCAAGATACCACTGCCGGTCCCTTCGTCATGTTTTGGCACCTTAGGCGCCTCCTCTCCGAGGTAAATACCGCTGCTTTTATCATAAACATTACTGAGTTGCTGCTCGGTACCGAGATACACACCGCTCGCTGCGTCGTACAAAGACTTTTGAGCGTCCTCTGTCTCACTCTCGGATCTTCTGTGCTTGAGACTCTCGTCCACGCTCTGTCGGTAGTAATCTAGGAATTGAAGGTAATTGAATTGTTTTTTAAACGATCGTTCCAAATATTATATATACTACACGCTTTCTGGCCGTGAACCCAAAAATTGGTCGGGCAAATTAATGACTTGCAATTTTCAGTAAAAATTTCACTATACAAACAATTCGCATACAAAGATACATGTAAATGTACATATAAAAATTGTTAACCTGTAGCAGCAGAGAGGGATGAGACAAACCACTTGGAATAAGGTAGTGCTTCCTCTGTAACCTCAACAACAGGCCACGAGTCCTCTCCTTTATGACGAACGCTTTCCCAGTTCAGATCTTTAAGAATGTCGGCGCCTTGACGGGTCGTGGCAATCAATCCCAACACATAAAAACACGTTCTATACACAAAAAATACATAGGCTAAAGTTCACTTGTCTGATCGGTTTTGAAGATACATGCATGATGCCCAACTGAATTAAGCTACCGCCTCTTTCCACATAGCGTTCAATGGAATTAACGCAACATTAAAAGTATTGATCACAGATTAGATCAGAATGAGGTGAAAAAGGAGGATACGTGACACATGCAGTTCGACGGTCTCGAAACTAGAAAAGAAATCGTGACTCACCCTCGGAGAGTTAGCACATCACAAAAGTTTGCCATTTGAACAATATGAGGTATAATATCCTCGTCAATCAAAATACTCAAACCCCAGCTTGATGTGCCAATATGACCCTAAGGCATAAGGAAACGTAAAACGTCAGCGAGCAGTTCCTTTGTAGTAATGATTCGGAAATAGTTCGGTTAAGTATCAATCGTACACTCCGTCCAAGATTGGAAAATTCTTAGCTTTTTTAGGAAAAAAGGAACAGGACTATCGAGTTGAACGGCCATGGTGGAACAGTTAGTTTCATGAGCTACGACCACCCGGTCAATACCGAATGCAAAGAACACCCAGAGAACTTGGCAGTGTGTGATGAAAAATAATTTTCCTAACACCAAGCTAATGAAAGTAACACATGAATGACATGATCAGATCTATTGACTGAATAAGTGCAAACGGTTGCTCGATCACTGCTCGGAACTTCAGCTATTGGGCGGACATAAATGGACTTTACGGTTTAGCATACTAAGATTAGTAAAAATGCCAAGTTTGGCTGCACTATGCGAATTTGGTAAATTTTACTACCAGAGGACCGAGGACTTGAATTTGAGTTGTGTACGATTCCCACTCGAAATTAAACCTTTAAACCATTTTGTATTACGTGTTAGTTGTTATATACAGATTGCGCACGTATAAACAAAAAAGTATACAAAACTTCGCGTGGCTATATTTACGAATAAGTATAGGTAATCATGCGATGGCGAGTACAATTCGGGATCATTTGGTCGTAATTCACGTCCGAACTATTTCAAATCGGTAAAAATTACCGCTTGTTTCAGACGATTACGACAAAATAAAAACAGACCTAAGACCATACATAATACTACATACCAATGCCCACAGCGCTGTTTTGACTTTGTGAATGTCTGCAGCATTGTCTGCGTCGAACATTTGTATTGTATGCACAAACTGACCAACATAACCCTGAATAAAAAAAGTTGATTACACAATAGAAGAATAGATATAAAGATTAGGTAAACAGTGCAACAAGATGTAAAGTCATCATCTTACATGCACGAACAGCTTTTACGCAGGGTCGTATTTTAAACCTTTTTCAGAACGTGAGAAAATCTTGTTCATAATCCCACAAGGCACATTCAGTTAAAACAACAAGAAATTAAGGCAAATGGCATATTCACGTTACAAAAGTGCCGTTCATATGCCATAGGCTGCCCAGAAATGTTTCTCGTGGCGCTCGCGCGTTATATACGCGAGTCTACTCGATCTGACATAATAGATATATAGATACAATTTATTTAACCACGGTAGAATCTTCAGTGTATAAAAACTAAATTAAACTTATTTACAGAACCGATTTACAAGATTGCCGCGTGGGAGTCAATATTACAAAAAATTGAGTAATAGTCATTGGTAGCTTTTCTATAAGCTGTGGATAAAGTGGAAGACTTCGTATTTCTTGAGGAATACCATTCCAAAATAGTGCCCCGTTATAGCACAGACTTCGTTTTAAATAATTTGTTCGATGCTTTGGTCAATTTTATATATTGGAAATTATTTAATGTATATTGGAAATTTTCAATTAACAAGGGTTAATTTTTTAGGAAAAATATTTGCTACCGTAGCACATAAGTAGCACATAACTTTAAGTAGCACATAACTTATTTCTCATACTTTCTCATAAATTGAAAACCTCATATTGTTATTTAATGGGTTTTCAATTAACGAGAGGTACTTTTTTAGGAATAATATTTGCTACCGTATAGCACATAAGTATTTTTTATTAATATCAATTAATGACTGCATTTCTAGGATTTTCTAGAGGATCAGCAGTATATCGGAAATAACAAACGGTTATACTCAATATTGCATGGTAACTGTAAATTATGAATTTGTTGTTACGACTGCTGACTACATGCGTAAAATATACATTCATGTGAAATATATTTAATCCCTCGAGGCCCGAAAGCGCAATACGGTAAACGCTATCGCCATGCAAGATACGAATTTACCATTTGTTTAATGTTATGCACTGGGTTTGTGTACAGAGGTAACTCGCGCGTGAGGTAAAGCGTTTCTCTCGGAAATGTTTAGTAGTATAAGGGGAAAAATGGCAGCATACTAAAAGATGGTACAGATTGACATTATCCTTAGGAGACCTTCCTTATGGTTGGTTTTATGCAAGGTTCAGAGTAATTATAATGTATGATACATATCATCTGGATAAAAGCAGTTATCATCTATACATTGATTTGCATTAATCTTCACCTAATTAGCATAACATTCCCTATTTTGCAATCTTAGAGTTGTGTTAAGTTGTTTCGAGAAAGTTGTGTTGTGTTGTGTTTGTTTTGTGTTGTTTCGCGTTATTTGAAATTTTTTGTAAAAGGAGCCAGTTGTATAAAAGACTAGTTAATTTTTAACTGTTAAGGACATAATTAGCTAATCATGCAGAGCCGTGTATTTCTGAGTTTAACTATGGAAGGTAGGATTTAACTATGCAAAATGTATTTAAAGAGTTTTATACAACTGGCCCCAGGTCACGTGATTGGCTCAAGTTGTATTAGTGGTCCTGAGCTGTTTTATCGTTTAAAATTAGTTGCACTGTCCTGTAAACAGTCAAAGTCAATGAGTAGATAGTAAACAGCGACCGAGTCTGGAATTGCGTTGCAAATTAAAGCAAAATTCGGCCTAATGTATCGCATGTCAAATAGATGTTGTAGTGTAAGGCATGCACGATATTGAATTCCACTTACGGTTTGCAGAAGATGTTCATATCCACTTTTCAACTTTACAATCTCGCCAAAGAAATGCGTCGGCACGTAGACATGACGCTTGACGTCCCTAAAAAAAGATTCCAGAAAATTATATTACGTCAGCAAATGATGCCAACGGCGAGTTTTGAGATTTAAGTCCGACTACCATGCACTATACACTTCGCTGACCTATCGAACATTTGATTGGTTAATAGCCTAAACATCACGCATCTGATTGGTTTCCTTTATGCCCGCTACTTACACGGGTGCGATAAATCTACTACAAAGTTTCAAACAACGTGAAGCTGCTTGCTGCATACGGTACATAAAGAATAGAGAGGTTCACTTTAAACGAAGAAAATGTTTCTAAACTTATAAGATATACCAACAAAGATTAATATATCAGTATACTAAACAATTATTGGATGAGGCTGAGCATGATATCAAGAATTGGATAAGGCTGAGCATGATATCAATGTCAATGTTAACTGCAGAAGACGGATAACATTGACCGAGGTCTGATCATTAATGCTTATTTTATTTTATTGTTTATTTTATTTTCGCGCTCTTTTAGGTTCATGTTGCTGGCGCGCCAAGGTCTGGGTATGAGAGAGTCCAATAATTGTTTTTTTGAATGCAAGTTCGATCCAAAAAAATAATTATTGGATGCTGAGCACGTCAGCAGCTGAAATTATGTATTAAATACAGAATATTGAGAATTAACCGTTGCTTTCTGACCAATCAGGAACAACAATACACACAAAATGTATAATAATAAAATTTAATGCAGGAATTTCTTTTTTGCCATCCCTATATCTAGCTTCTCCGACGGTTGCTCCATGCATATAGGTTGTATTGGGGGTGTTGCCTTGCAAATTCAGAAGGTGAATAAGCACAGAACATTTTACATACTTAAAGGATGACTGTCTCACATAACCACCATCTTCATCGGTTGGCTTCTGATATGTTGTTAAGGCCTCTGCTAAAGCTTCTTCCACCCATTTCACGTATTCAGAAGAATATTTCTGGAAGAATAACAGCCGATTCGCTATATTGCATTAGCTATCAGAACGCCTTTCCTATACCAAGGCTAAAATAAATGGTCATATAATGGGGGTTCTGCATGCTGTACATGTAAAAACTATAGGTATTGACTTTATATATTTTTCATTTGTTAAGTATTGACTTTTTAGTACATGAAGGTGAGCACAGAGAATTTGTCGGTGAGGGTATAGTATTGGATTTAATGTCACGTTTCCTAGAAAAGAAATATTTCTAAATTAATATAAAATGTACGTAATTAACAGCATACCTGATGCCATTGTTCCATTAGTGGATCAACATATCCAAGTCCACTCAAATATGTGAACCCTTTATCCACAGATAAAAATCTTAAAGAGAGATTGTACCTGTTATACAATGTATGGCTTTACATGCAAAGCGACACCGCATGCAGAAATTGGTGCATGTTTATTTAATTCCAACACAGAGATGCCATTACTGTTTCGCATTTGGGTATTTTTGTATTGCAATATTACCTGCAGAGAATACTATCAAATAATTTAAAACAAGTTTACATTTTCGGCTGAGTGCTGAATTTGTATACAATGCACAATCTTCTGCATAAAAGCTTGTCATATACACATGCATTTGCCGGCTGTAAAATGGCTTCTTTGAGGCTCAAATATTAACGTATATACCCAATTCAGACCGTTCGTTCTTAATTGTAGCATGCAAGATTAATATCTTTAGTGAAGGAAATATTTTGTCCAATAGTTATAAATCTTTTTGTTCAACAAATCTATAAGTATTGAGAATTGCGGCTAAAAATCTATATGTAAAAGTCTATAATTAAAATGGACTTCCGCGGTGTCTTACGGAGGAGATATTTTATCCTATCAGTTACAATACATGGTGAAATCGTGTCTAGAACAGCATATATTCTCGGTTATGTACCTTGTTAGAAGCCTCCAGCCTTTCTCCCCAAGATGAAGTAAAGCCGGACGAAGTTGAACCAAGTATTGAAGATTAGCCTTAAAAAATGGAGTACGTTTATATTCTTAGTCGAAAAGTTCTCCCGTTTCTTCGGTTGTATAGCTTCTGCACAAAGCTTCTAATCAATGGACAGGGCATGCAGAACTAGTATATTCTTATAAATGAAATCTATATATGATTGCTTAATCAACTACCTAAAATATACAAGTTGATTTCTCGACGTTTCGAATTAAGGGCCTCTGATAGAAGTGATGAAATATATAGGATTGCACTGCATATTTTGTGTGAGTGCAAAACACATGGTGAACAAACCAATATAAGATGAGAAGCCAAAGGCAATTAAAATATTATTACGTTGTCACAGAAACTACCGACACCCTGACGCAGGTTGAAGTTGGAACATCGAAAGCTATAAGGTTCCCTTTTATATTTACGGCATTTGATGAAACAGTGCTGCATGATTATTTGTAGGTGTATTTTTCTTCCAAATCTAGTTCAACATGAAACTGGTTCGCACGGGTGAAATAAACATAAGCACAACGACGGTTCACATGTACAAAGTACACGTCGACTAAAAATAACCACGTTTTGTGCCTGTCTTATTTTCCCATGTGAACCGGACTATATCTACACGGTCTGAATATACTGTTTACTATCGTAAAAAATGCCCACGAAAACGTTCAAGGATGCAACAGTCGTTATGGCCTTTCTTCCACTTTTAATTAATATTTCCTAGAAAACAAACCTCATCTTCGCAAGCCTCTTCCAAAACATCCGCCGCTTCCATCGCAATTCTATTCTCATGATCATACAGCTATAATTCGAAAATACAGAGCTTTACCGTTCCATCAACACCTGCATGCTTAAGGCCCATTTACCCTACGCCATTTGTCGTATACGTTTCGTTTACCCTGGCGTATGTGAAAGTATATGAACACACGTACAAACATGACACTTTAAATTCCACCCTGAACAATACGAATGGAGATTGTGGCATAGACCCTCTTTTGCATCCATCAGAATGATAATTGCATACAACTCCACAAGCAACAAGGATAAGAACATTTGCAGGAAAGAGTTTCAATTAGGAAAGCTGTTCTGAGGTAGCTAATAGTGAATTTTACTACACAAGTATTCGCAGACAAATAAATGACTTGCGCAATAAAAGTCATCCGGTTTTACAATTTCGATACGACCACAAGTCGCCATATAGTTGCTACGTTAAACAAACGCCGAGTTAGTTGAGATTATACATCAGTTAAATGGGTCCTCACTCAAAAAGTCAAGTTCGCGGGCAATAATCCCCTATATATAGCTTTCCATGCAGAATCCACAAAAATATAATTTTTAATGTGAAGATCTATAGTGCATTGCATAGTTGGCTATAAGTGTGAGGTCTCGTTTATATAGGAATAACGTTCGGACTGTATTCGCGGACTTCGGAATTACTACCAATTTGTTTGTGGGATGTGTTGTCAGGTAATTTATCAATTACCGTAAGTCATTTCATTGACACTACACACGTAAAAACGCACAAGTTGTAACAAGTCTGCAGCAGGGCTGTTACAAGTCTGTTCACAAGCTTGCACCAAGATTTGTTCGCACTGCTTGCTCCAATTTGTTGTAACAAGTTTTGGACAAGCTGTTAACAACTTGTAGCAAGTCCGATGGCATTATCAGACTTGTTACAAGATTGTTTGACAAGTCTTATCAGATATGATACAACAACATTGCTATATACGAACTTGACAGCAAAGGATCGTAGCAATATTGTTTCATCATGTTTGTACCAGACTTGTTGGAACAGCCTTGTAGCAATTCTTTTAATTCAACAAGTTTGTTACAACTTGTTAACAAGTTGTCCCATATTGTCAACAGCTTGGGACAAGCAGTGCGAACAAATCTTGTTACAAGCTTGTGAACAACTTGCTACAAGATATGATATTTTTACGCGTGTACAATCACTTTCACACTCTTTCTCTACCCGATATATTACAGACAGTCGACGCGCAATAATAGCGGATTAAATCGTTAATTTATACCTGAGTAACCAAGAATTCTATTCCCCAATTATTAAAGAATGCCACTTTGGCCCTCAATAACGCACGCAAAAACTTCGTAGCATACAGACGAACATTCTAAAACGTAAAATATACGAACTTGTAATGTACTTTAATATATTATGTTCCGCTTACATGGCCTGGTTATCGCTCATACCTCAATTAAGGGAACATCTCTAGCAGAGAAATAGGTTGGGTTAGGTCAGGTCAGAGGATGGGTAGCAAGGAGCTAGGGCGGGAGGTGTGGCAAGAGAGGGGGGCGCCCTGTAAGCAATTGCAACCGGTTAACATGCATCACATAAAAACAGCATGTTCTATAATAGATTAGTAGTACTCAGCATGTTTTGTCTTAAGACTACAGGAAAGCAATGAAATGTTTCCACGCTCATGTCTACGCAAGTCTCGCTCGAATTGAATTTTGAGATTTCTTATAGAATCGTGCATGCTTTGGGTAAAAATTTTCAGATGTTTTCTTGTATTGAATGACCTTAGCAAAAAAACACCTTCGAGAATCAATTGTATACCGGCCTTATTGATAGTGTATGGAAAGAGAAATATTCACCCTTAGGACATGGATTTTATTTACCGTTGTGGACGCGGTGAGAATCTTGGACAAAATAATTCTGCTTATTTCAGCACGTCTGTAGTCTAAACTAGCGAGTATTAGCTTGAGAAGGCGATCACGTGACTTCATCGAAGCGAGGTCTAAATAACTGAAAACAAATCTAGCTGTGAATAAAAGCATTGTTTGCAAAATAGGAATCATTAGCAAGTTAAAATTGAATGTGAAGAGATTACAATTTTGATAATCAAACTCCCAACTAAATCTCTACTTTGCTCAAAAACCTCAAAAATTCTCCAATTCCTAAAATCAGTTTTAACACGTCGATGCCTTTGTTTTGACTAAACCGGAAAATGGGTGGCCAGGTTTTCAAATTTAAGTCTGCATCTAGTTTGAATCGAATGAACACGCACTTTGCATGCAGAATCATCCCGTAATTAACTTATTATTATACAAATATGCAATGAATGAAAACCTTGGCCCAAGCTTGTTCACAGCCTGTATCACGAAGACACGCCACTGTGTGTCGGGGTAAACTTACTGTTGATAAACTCCAGTCGTCGCTAGAAGTTTGTGGCCTTCACTTGAACAAGACATTCGTCCAAAAAATACAAAGTAATAACGACTTGTTGTCTTGATTAAACTTTCTTCACCAAGGGTTCCAGAAGTGGCATCTTTTAAAGTCTAAAATAAAAGAGATCAAGCAATTCAGAGCCGAACTAGACACTCGATCGTAACTGCATATAACCGATACTTCAGTCGTAAGATCTCTGGAAAACAAAGGGAACTCATTTAAGAGCTATAATAACTCTCCAGAACTTCAGACATGCATGGTCTACCATAAATCCTTCATCAGAAAAAATTGGCATCACCTGACTTATATAATCGGGTAGGCTATGCATGCATTATGTTTTTGACAAGCTACAGTGATTTCAACGGGGAAACCAGTGGTTGAGATAATACAATCGGTTCGGGCATACGTTTATTCTCCTGTATTTCTTAAAAATATTTCATCAATGTTAAACTTTTCCCATCTTTTCGTTCCCATGCCCATATCAACAGAGATGAGGCCGGCAACCGCATTATTATATAGGATAGCCTCTTATTGGCCTTCCGCAAACCCTTTATATCAATTCCTAAGAAATTATCCTATATTCGAAAATTCCTTGGTATAATGCTCGCAGGCAAAGAACACAAATGCATGCAGTAAACGTACTTATATTATCTGGCCACAAGTTTTTCGCATGCACACTTACCTTATCTAGACATTCAGAAAATTCCTTTGTGAAGTCTTCTAGCATTCGTTGACTTTCATGCTAAAGTGAAAACAATAAGGAATGTTAAATCAACAAAATGGTGAAACGATTTTTGCTATATGCGCATTTGGACGTAGCAAAGGATCGGGCATTTTCAATTCTCTCGTCTCTTTAATGAATACTAATAATGTCGAAAGCACTTCACTAAATGTTGATGAAGAATGTCGATGTGATTCATCATCAACTGCAATCCGAAAACATCTGACAGAAGTGGTATTCAGCATTCACAGGCTCTGAATTCATTTTCATATCCTATGATTACGTAAAAGATCGCGAATGTTCACTCTAGCAGAATGCAAACGGTAGAAAATTACTGGTGAAAGAAATAAAAAGGATAATTGTATTGCTGAGTTGAAGCTTCAAGTCATGAGGTCTTTTTCCAGTAATTCTGGTAAAATGCACAACGCTTCCGTAACCGTGGAATTTGAAACGTACAATATATTTCTCTCTAAGGCTCTAGCAATTTTTGGTGCGATTTTCTTCTTTTGGAAGATGTGAGTGAGTGACTAGTTACGAAGGCTCTGAAGTATAAGAGCTCTTATTTGAACATCCCTAAATAATTCACTTGTTCACATCTATAAAAAAAAAAACAAAATCGCAAATAAAATCGCTACAAAAATTGCAAGTGAAAACAGGCCTTTAGAATGAATGCATGAAGCTACTTTAATGTGCTTACGATATTTGCCAAAAGAAAATCTATCAGGAGAAGACCAATTTCCGAGAGCTTCTTCGCCATAGGATCGCTAAGTTCTACGGTACAAAACTGCTGGCTGCTTGGTTGGTAGAAATATAATAGATTGTTGATAAACCTGAACGAAAATAACAAATGCGTGTTTGGATAAGCTAATCCGCGCTTGAGGCAAGCTAGCATGCTCTGCTAGCAGAAGTCAACAAATAAGATCTAAAATCCTGGCAATAATTACTATTGGCATCGCGCGTGTAGAGGAAAACAAGATCGATTTTTGCAGAATTCGCCCTTCGAAAATGTTTATTCCCTCCGACCCCATGCGTTAACGTTTTGTGTAAAATAACAATGAATATAGGTGGGAAGGCGAATTTCGTGCCAACAACGGTGTGACGGATCAGCAGCCCAAGTATACTACTCTATATTCTATTTATATGAGCCATTGGTGAATATTCATGGCCAAGTGATGATGTAAACCACGCCACTATAGTGCAATTCTGTTCAGGAGTGTAACTAGAACGGTAATTGGGGGGGGGGGTGAATATTCATATATTAAGTTCTGCCCGACGGATTTCTATTGTAAGCTATTGCAATTATAAAAGAAATCCGTAGGGCAGGACTGGATATATTAATATTCACCCCCCCAATTATCGTTCTAGTTACGCCACTGATTCTGTTGTCAGAGTAGTGTTTAATTGAGGGAAAACATGTCTTCTCTAACGAAGGCTGTCAACACACAAGGCTGATATACTATGTCAGAGCCGACCCATCTAACGCCAAGAAAATTGCTCGAACAAGTTTCCCAACCTTTCCGACACCCCACTTCTGATCCATGCCTTATCAAATATATCTACGACTCCAATTACGTTGCTCATATCGACATGCCTTTATAATTACTCCAAAGACATGCACGGAAAGACAGGTAGCGACAGATAACGACCGTATGGAAACTATAGGCTTAACGCTCAATCAACATAAGGAACAATAAATTGCAACACTCACATATTAAACAAAGAGTTGTAATTTAAAAGTGTTAGCGAGTAGATATACTGTATGGTACTTACCCGCTGCACCCAGTCTCTTCCAATTTACGAAGGTTCACTGTTGGAGACTATCAAATAATTATTAAATTAATATCACCATGGCTATAAGAAACGTTCCACAATTAGTTATAAGATTGCAATGTTTGGTTGCGAAAGATTGAAAATGTGAAAAATTCATAGCTCTGCAAAGTTGATGATGAATTTTTTAGTGTTGAATTTAGTTTAAAGGGGAATGGTCCATTTGACGACGTGGTTGAATAAAGTTTTTGAAATTGAATACAAAAGCCAGGAGTTTTATTCACCAACACTCCTTGTCGCGCATCAAAGAAGAGAAATTTAGACCTGTTCAACATGCATGACACAAAATGTGCAAAATCGTCATGCTTTAAATTGCAACTGTTCACGAAGTATAGGAAAAGTTTCGCTCTATTTTGCGGTGGCGTTAATTGTAGATTGTTTCTGGAAGAATTTAAACTTAGTATACTCTTAACAAAGCAAAGTGATTCACCTGAGCGTAAGAAACTCGAAAGTAAACGGAAGACGGAACTTAATTAATTACTTCTTTATACTGAGGCTCGTTCAATTTTTCCAACGGAACTTTTTCACACATATATATACTAAAGTTCTTACCTCTAGAATGGCAGCAAAAAAATCCCACTGTAGTGGATGACAATCTTTTGCTGGTCCAATCTGTAAAATTAAAATATACACTAAGTTTATTCCTTACTATCCAGTATAACGCCTAAAGAGCAGTTCACTTTTCATCAAGGTGAAGTTGATCGAGATCACAATTTAATTTCTCACATTAATTTCTCTGATCATTTCGTCGTCGATATCCTACAAGAATATTAATTTGAAACATTAAATATCGTGAAAAATCATCGCATATCAGCGAATAGAGAAAGTGTGGAAGCAGCACACGTTTCCACGCATCAGGGGCAGGTTGTTCAAAAGCCGGTTAGCTTAACCCTGGGTAATCAAAGCAAATCTTTACATCGATTTTTTTAATCGCCTGTTTACAACGTTGAATATCTCTTTCCATAAATATTTTCTGGACCGACAAAAGCCATATTTTGTAAATGTTTTAAAACGAACAACGGTTCAGAGACACTTAAACTAAAACATTGGATTAAAATTTAACCCAGGGTTAAATTTAAGGGCGCTAACCTAGCTTTGAGCAACTGCATGGCCCCAGAATGTAAATGACCTGATGCTGACCTTATTTATGCATTTCAATAGAGCTTCTTTTTCGCGTTCACGTTTCTTGTGCTTGCTCTTGCTTTCACTTGACTTGGATTGCTATAAAACAGAATGGAAAGTAAGAATCAAAACACTGTTTTCTATATTTCGCACAGTCGAAATTTTATATACTCAAAATGATTATCTCTTTTAGGAACAATCGTACTGAGTTATGCGGTGACTTTTTATCTTTAAATATTATTATTGCATATCTACATATATATACCGAATAGTGTATAGTGTATATAGCTACAAATACAAAACAGTTTATCAACACTATAATTATACATGTAACAAACATGTAAAAAAAAGGAAAAAAGGACATGCATTACCATTGTGAGGAATTCCAAAAATAGCGAGTGAGGACTCAATGTTCGTTTCTTCAATTGATGAAGTCGGTCCAAACAATTAACAGCAGAGCTCGCACGTCTGGAATTACGTAAAGAACATTGCTTAATATTACTTTACAGAGCTGCTATCATGCAATAAAGTCTAGTTTTCATTTATTCGTAAGAATGAAGTATTTGGAACATCTTACCCTCTTTCTTGTCTAGTGACTTGAAATGATGTTGCAATATTCATCAACGTTGGCAAACAGTGCGTATGGCTACTGCACTCTGGAGGAAGCAGAGTGTTGGCCTAAAATGCAGGATAGGATATGGTAAAAGTAGGGTGGGATACAGTACGATAAAGCAGAGTACAATGTGAAGAAATTCACATGCATAAATAAGAGTAGTGTTGTGAAAGAAAGTACTAAGCCTAATTTCAACTATGTTTCTAGTACATTAATTACAATATCAAATTTACTATGCACAAAGTTAGGGGCCTGACGTATCGAAGTAAAACAAATACAAGTATTGGTGAAAGATTTCAAGCAAAAAATTAAGAAAAGTGTGAAGGGAGTTGGTTTTCAAACGTTTCACCAAAAATGATATTTATATAGTTATATATTCTTCTAAATTTGTTACATACATACCATATGAAGTAACTGACCCAATACAATTGTCGCTCGAACTGATACAAAATCTTCGGACGTAGTGATGACCTGTACCAAACTCTACACGAAAATTACAACACGTAAAAAACAACACGTATTTTTGAAAAAACATTTAAACATTCAAACGTGCGTATGTACACTAGGAGACAATATATGCGATAGTATTAACTATGTGCTTCACCTCGAATAACCCGGCAGTGACGAACGCTGATAGAACTATGGCGGTATAATTCCTTAGTAAGTCCACCCTGTTAACAAAAGAAAAGGATTGTGGTTTTTGTAAAATGCATGTTAATTGCCATAAAGTTTTGGTTCAAAGAGCTGTCGTAAATATTGCAGTTGATGCATGGTACTAGTCGGTGGTTTATTGCCATAATTCAAGTACCTGGCATTTACTCTGCATGGTAATAAACTATGAGCTTCTTCGGCTACAAATCCTTCTGATAATTTCCATGAATTCTTCATCTGACGTGGATCTAAAACCATACGCAAGAAAGTACGGTAATGCAGGTGCATGCATGGGCGCCAAATGATACACACAGAAGGCAATATCAAAACTCGTTATGAAATCTGTACGTTGAAAGTTGCTTGGGGAGTGAAATTTAAATGTTGTATACCACAGTCTCCAGAGACCAAATTTGATAACTGTTCATAACCGACGCACAAAGAACTGGCTTTACCTACCTATGCTTTTTAGCGCAACTACAAATTCATCAGTCCACTCAGGGACTGGAAGTCGAAAAACGTCCATCAAAATATCCATGATATGGCGCTACATGGAGATAAAGGACAGAATATTTATGTTGTCAGGAACTGGTTGAGAATAATATAGTCTTAATGTTAGCATCGTTAGAATGGGACACGAATAAAGTATAGTCCTAATGTTAGCATCGTTAGAATGGGACACGAATAAAGTATACAAGTCGAAACGGCGGGGGCGATGTTGTGAAATAATTCAAGATCTACTGCATGCAGCACTGACTGCATGGGAATTTTGAAAAAGTTATCTCTAAGAAAAGTATCTCTAAAATTTATGAAAAGAGATCCATTTTATATTTTAGAGGAATTTATCCTTTTCCATCTCCATAAAGGGCTTGATGTTTCCACTGATATTTACCTTAATAATTGGATCGGGTAAGCAGAATATCTGAAGCACAGATTGAAGACCACTGCCATCTGGTTTGCACAAACATATTATTCCTATGAAAAACGAACAGGGAAACTTATATTTGACAGCAAAATAGCTTGTGTATGAAACAAGAAAGTTATAGATGGCCTGACCGCTTTTACGGTCAACATAATAAATGTGAAGCTTCATAACAATATGTGCATGTACAGCCGCAAAACCCAGCATACCTGGCCACGTTTTAAACACAGTTGCCATCGCCATCTTGCTTGTCTGTAATCGTGACTCACGATCCTCCCTGAAATACAAACCAACAGATATAATCTGCTAATTATTTTTCGTATAACAAGCTAATGATTTACCTATATTTTTTATACTATCACCATGCAGAATTATATGCATGTTTAAAATTAATTATGCATGCATGTCGTTGGCAAACATCTTCGTAGGATATGGATCCTTTGGTTCGTACGTATAGCGCGAAAGATCCAATCAAAATGTTCCACTTTACCCCATGAATCGTCCCACATAAATACCTGAGCTGAGAATCGGGAACTTCGATTCCATGGTTATAATGAAGGTCAGTGAAGGGAGCTAATATGCCCTGCAAAAAATGAAAAAATGTCATAATGTATATTTAAAGACTTCCTGCGACGACAGTTTTTAATATCAATGTGTAATTTACCTCTAAGCCTACATCGGGTCGTACATAACACCTGGTTACTGGATTGTTCATCAGAAACAATAAAGTCAAAACAAGGCATTCGTTCATTCGATGAACCTGATAAAAGGATTAACGTTAAATTTGACGCGAAGGAGTGTCAGTGGTGAATGCATGCTTGGTTATGCTACAAAAACTTATTCAATTCCAAGAGATTGTAACTATACCTATGATACAGTGTTTACAATATACCTGTGAATCAAGAATACTGGATATGATGGTATTTATTCCGCCACAGTAGGACGCCACTTGGACATTACTCAAAGCTGGTTAAACGAGATGAGTTAACGGTATATAATATCTCGAAGTGGTGAGATTGCAAATAATTATCAGTGTATGTCTTCTGGACCAACACATGCATGGAACACATTTTAATATTATTGATACGATGTAAACGAACCTAATTCGCACATTGTGGCAAGGCAAGCTCGCCCAAGTCTGTCGTGTTCTTGACTTTTGTCAGCTGCTATCGCAACAAGACAGTGCGCAAATGACATCGGAAAAAGATGAGGACAAATAGCCACAACCTATCAAATAATCAAAGTTTCGATTTTGAAATCATATAACAGGCCATTAACACCTGTTATACATGATCCAAAGAGTTGGTCAAACTTAATGATTTATAGACGTAACGTCGCTCGCCTCACAATTGAGCAGTGAAATGTGATTGAGAGGCATACATTGTACTAATTTCATTTCTTTCAATCCTCACTCAATTGCAATATTTTTGACCGGGTGAAGGTTGCATGTATGTAAATCGGGGTTCTATATAGTTCGTACCTTGCGGACAAAACGAAGTGCCTGAACTCGTTCAACCTCAGATAGCTGCTGCTTATCAAGACAACTACAAAAAATTCCCATAAAACGCAAAATATATAATGACAGAAATTGGGACCTGGGACATCAAGATGTCGCATATATTGTTGAAAGATTGCTCAGAGAAATCTAATAAATATTTTACTTTCTTTCACACTTTGCTTTCCGGTTCGCGAGGTTTTTATTCAAAACTTACCGCACAATAAAGATATCAACTCTTAACTTCATCATCTTGCTAAACGATTTTTCATCGGTAAATAAATAACGCAACGCTCTGGAAGCTGCTGCCCTGACCTCCTTCGATCTGTTGAAAACCGCAACTCGCAAACTAAAAATATTCAAGATATTTACAGTCACTTCGCATAAATATTTTTACCATATTTTTTGGAGCTACATGCATTCCAATCGAGATTTTTTGTTGTTAGACAACAGCTTAAAATTGTGGTTTCCTGTTCCATGCAGCCGTTCTTAAAATTATAATAGATGCACATATGAACAGGGATTTGGCTCGAAGACTACTTTACTCGGGAAAAAATCGAAGCCGAAAGTTATATTGGTGTCATTGACCAGCAATCCGTGCTATATACAGCAAAAGCCATTTCAAATGGCTACAAAATACTACAATATGTGCATGTATATACAACGGGCTGCCCTAAATCATTGCCACTATATTGTACCGTTAGCTTACTAAATGTACAGTGTAATAGCCCACTTTTTTTTAAGTTTCGTACCATAATTTACATTCGTGCAAAATATAGATTTGGCACAGTTAAGGTTAAAATCAACAGCGAAAACAAGGAATCATGGGCACTTGTCACTTTATAAAATAGACGAACATTCGTGTTTATATATGCACTTTGTATTGCCTAAATTGAAAATGGTAAAAATAAGACAAATAAAATGGAGGTATAGGGAGAAATTAAGGCTCTCTTGTCTATACTTTAGAATTTTGACTTGTATATACCATATTATTATTTCTTCCAAAGAAAATCCCAAGTCGGAGCCAACAGGTGTAGTTTGGATCAGCTGAAAATTGGAATACACAACTCTTTATCAGTACAACATGAATTTTTTTATGAATCGCCAAATCGCTGTTCGGCAACACGGTACATACATGCAGTATCTTGACCTTGACAATTATATAAATCCTATATACATAACAAAAACTTCACGCAATAATGCATAGACGGTATGCTATAATCTGCCAAAGATATGACCAAGGTTAAGGCCCACAAGATACGATACGTAGATTATCTCATAGTTTATCTCTATACACTTTACAGTATACGACTAATCACACACCATGTAATTGGACCTCATGAGGGTTTTACCTTAGTAAAATGATTTACGTATCCCATTTTCTTCCCAGCACTCATTCCACCCCGGTTAGTTATCTCTTTCAAAACAAACTGCATGTTCTCCTTGGGGTCTAAAAAAGACAAAAACAAGTTTCCTATATCGGCAGAGCTTAATACCGTTGCACCTAAACATTTTAACACATGGAGTAAACTTTTTCTTATATAAATCATATTTTATGCATGAATGTAGTGAAGTCTGCGATCTACTTTACCAATAAATATACTACCTACTATCTACTTTACGAATAAATTTAATGGAAAAAAAAACTTTCTTTCGTCTATATTTTCTTGTTCGCCCCTTTTTCTACAGCTTTCAGCCGAAACTGACAAACCTCTGAGCTTTCTGGAACATTAAATGAATAAGCAAAAACATTTTGAAATTACACACACCTTTCTTCAAGTCAAGTGGAAGAGGTTCGTCAGAACGAACACTGGATCCTATAGGGATACAAAAATTAAGAATGAAATTTTCCGTTGGGTCAGTCAGGTCCGCTCTCCTTATTCATGTACATAACGCATACAATCAGTACCGGGCAGAAGCGGGTCGATTCATACTGTATAACTACTAAACCAGCACACCACATTTACGAAAATTCGATCGGTTGAAAGTGTTGTGAATTGGATCATCACTTATGTTTTTCAATTATTGAACCTTATAGTCACGATTACGTGTCTTTCCATTGTCTATAATCGGGAAGAAATTCGGGCAAGTTGGAATATAAACAAGTCTTTTTCACTGTAAATAATATCTGCCATATCGGAGCTACTTTCACTTTTTCAGACCCAGTATAAAGGAATTTTTGCACGAATTTTCTCTCGGGTTACACTAGCGGAGAGGGCCCCACCTGGTATCTGCCCCCCAACCCAACTTAAGTCCTGCGTACGCCTCTAGGAAGAATGCGTTAAATTAACGTGTGATTGAAAGTTGAACGCCAAGTTTGTTGTGCAAATAAAGTTAGTAATACTATCATGTAGAAGAATTATTCATTTAAATTTACAAGTACATGTGAACTTGCAAATCCATGGGAGAACGCGTTTTCAATAATATTACCGGTTAGTTTTTATGCGAAAAGTAGGCATCATGATTAAATGTTGAATTTATGATACTTTTACATAGTAGCAAAGGGCACAGGGCTGCCCTTGCTCACCCCTGTAAGCAAAGGGCAATGGGGCAGCTGCCCCTGTGGTTCTGGCACCCCTGACTAAATGTATGTTCTAGTTCTAGGTATCTTGGTGAGGATGTTCCAATCAGGTTTCAGATACAAGCTTCAAGTCATTTCAAACCAGCTATAAGTCCACAATTTTGTGCAAGCCGAAAAAATTATTGTAACCTGAAGCATCTTTTTGCAAGCAACAAACTCCTAATTGCCAGTTTTAACAATGCTAGGTTTTTTCTGTAGGCTTGACAAACTTGCAACAGCCAACTATGTACTTTTGACTGAACAAAGTGAACAACCAGTGAGAATCAGACCTTTTACATATTCATCACAAACCTGATGGAAGCAAGAAGATAGTATATACAGTATATATCTGATTGTGATTTTGTCTTGAGACAGATTTTTTATTAATGTATGTTTGAAGAACCTGAGTGATTGAAAGATTGGTAAGAAGAAATCTTTTGATAAACCTATTAAATAAAATTCTGCTCTAAATCCTTATCTAATCCTAAACTGACTTGATCTTGTAGCTAAGTGATGGCAAAAAATGTGTTGGGCATGGTTTCCATGGTTGCTATCATTGAACATTATAAGCATCACACAAATACCAGGTAACTCACTTTTGTTCTCATGAACCAACACACCCTTTCTAAAACTGTCTTATCATAAAATGACTAAGGAAGGAAAGTGCAATCTTTTAAGTTTACCAAATTTTGAAAATAATCTCCACTCAAGAGGCTAACAACCTTTATTGTCATCAGGTAGTAGGAGGTGCATAAAACAAATTAATTTGCAGGTATGATGCTTTCTACTCTATTTAGATAGTCAGACAAACATCACAAGCAGAAAGATTTATGTTCATGGAGGTATGTTCACTGTACTCTAAGCTTGGGGGGGGGCTATGGTGATAAATTGCACTTATGTTATTCCAGTTAACAAGATAGTTTAACGCAAATTCACACACCATTGAAAATAGCCTTGTTTAAAGAGTGAGTCAACAAGACAGCCTTTCTCACCGTTAGATGGACTACTTAGTTGATATCCCATTGTAAATAGCCAAAGCTCAGAGTACTCTTACTGTCCTTAGTCCTACAGACCGACCGTCAAATATCACCAGTAGCTATATAGATTCAGATTCATAGATGTGGAGTATTTAATGAAACAATGTAGAATAATTCTTTCGATTGACAATATAGTCTATCAGATCTACAATAATTCATAATATATGACCCGTCTAACTTGAGCAAATATAATATTTGCAAGAAAAATATCAGAATCCACAAGAGAAAACAGATTTGACAGGGTATTGCCACAGCGTATATTAATCCTCGATTGCCCAATGACGAATTTCACAATACACATGCGAATATAAACGGATATAGATCTACCTAAAATCCTAAATATATCCAGATTTTTTAGTCGTGATCGGTTGGTTATTGCAAGTACACCTACCTGACGCACGATAATATCGTCGTGCCATATTGAATCCGATCAAAAGCTTCGACGATTTAGCTAAATCTGTGTTTCTCACACATCGCGATTACCAATGATCACCGCTCAATGAGTGAGTGCGATATTTCATGAGGTGACGGCCATTTTCTATTTTGCAACATTTCCAGAATGTAAATATTTTGATGCGCAGTTTGCAGTTGCGCATTCTAGAACTGCTATTTTTGCCCGCCCGCTGGGCAAACAGTGAGGACCAATGTTTCGATGTTTTTCGTATCGTGGGCTCAAAATTGAAAATGATAAATAAGAGAGAGAGAATCAGAGATTAAAAGGAAGAGGTGTTCTACAATCTATAAAAGATTGCTTGCAAAGTATGGACAAGTTCGATGGGGGTGGAATCCGTAAAAAAACAACTAATATTTTGGAGAGGCCTTTAAACAAAGGACGAAACGAGGCTCGTATTTATATTGTTTTACAGCTATGCCTACAGAAAATCATTCATAGATTTTCATTGGATCACAATTTATGATTTTTAAAATTTTTGCCAATCAGCTTTATACTGGCCTTCTTTTACTAATGCATGGAAATAAACATAATGTCTGTGTACGAGAGGCCTTCCCCTTCAAGGCCTTGTATTCTACCACCAATCCACCATATACTATTCTTTACCAGTTAGAGGCTTGGTATTCTCTACATGTGACTTTTGCCTACATAAAGCAACTTCAGGGCAATAGTGGGGCAAGTAGACTAGTGGCCAAATTGTTAGACAGTGGTTGTTGGATTGCGACGAAGAACTAATAGTGGAATTTTAATCAGTTATCAGTGAATATTGCTACAAAACTGATCTTACTCTGATACATTCTTATCCTGTTAAAAAATGTCAAATTTAATTAACTGAAGAGTTGATGTGCAATAAATTTGTATCTTATCAGGTGCATATCAGCTCCTTTGCTCTACTATTCTCAGAGATTGTCCAGTATTCACAAAACAGAGTAACAACTGTTGCAGATTTGCAAACCAAGTGAGATTATTATTTTGTAAAATCTTCCCTACCAAAATAATTGTGCATGAGTGATTAAAATAAAATGGAAAAACAAAATTGCAGAACCTGTCATAAAATGGCTAAAAAAGTAGTTATTAAAAAGAATTACCAAATTAACTTCCATGGATTTCTTCAATTGCTTTGAGAAATATATATATCCAAAACTAACTTAGCAGATTCATTATCGTAGATAGAATTACCCCAACAAATATTTCAATAGAATGTTTAAAAATTAAAACTAATTGGTGAACCATATATAAGTAAAGCTCCTATTTGAGCGGTAGAGTTTTTTGCAGGTTATCAGATTTGGGAAAAAGCATTGGCTCAAGAATGCTTGATGTTCTAGTTCTACGGGAGAAGGGATACAAACGAGAGACAAGGATCATTAACGTCCTTTTATTTATTAAAACAACAGTCTGGAAAGTGAGTAATTGTTGTATGTATAATACTTCATATCCAGTGCTCATTGTTTTCACTTCCCAGTCCAGAACTACTTCTTAATTTGCACAATTAATTGCAACATCTAGGAAAATCTGAAATGACAAAGGTTGTATTACTCCATTACAAACTTGTGCATATCTACTTTTCTATCATATATTATAGTCATTGTTTGGAAAGGAAGCTGATAAACTTGAACAATCTAATGATGATGATAAAACATGTATCCTTTTTGTTGCAAATTATAAAATATTGCCAATTTTTTTTAACATATCCACACCAACATAAGCAATAGATAACTGGTCTTTAAGCTATACTAAAACAGTGAACATAAATTTCTATTTTCTGCCTTTGACTTTGTATATCTTAATCCCATAAAAGCTAGCCTTATATTCATATCATATTATTCACTATGAGTTGGTAGTCCGAGCAGGAAAGTAAATGTTTGTGGACTCAAGCTTTTCGCCCTAATGTCTTTGTCCTTCCTCCTATCTATATTCTTGACGTAAAATATTAGATTATATAATCGAGAAAGAACCACTGGTCAACAAATTCATTTCCAGACAAAAGGATAAAGGTATGCATGGATGTTCATCGTAATGCCATCGTTAATGATATAATAATTTCTTTGTGTTTGGACAACCCAGTTAAGGTCAAATTTATGATAAAAAAGTGTGCGTTCTTTGAAATTTTTATCTTTTATGCTTTCCATTTTATAGGTGGACTTAACTGCGCGTATTTTATTGCTGGGATAGTTGAAGAAATACTGTTTGGTTGCAAATTTGTAAGTGCAAAGTCTTCACTGAATTTTACCTTCTTTCTTTCTCTCAAACGCTGTGGTTGTTGAACAGCATCTTCGTTTCCAAATTTCTTTAATGTATATTTTTGGATAAATAATTCTGTGGCCCCGAATATTCTTCCTAAGAGCAATGTATATAACAGTATAAAGTTGTTTTAATTTTCCTTTTCGTTTCTTTTTCATTTCTATAGAATTGCAAGGTTACCGCTCATTGGCACAAAGGCACAACATTCATGATACAATTTGATGAAGCTGTGATCGCTCGAGACAAAGCGTTTGATGCACGTTAATGCTAGCTGCAGTATCGACAATCTCGCACTCTTTAATAATGATTGTAAAAATAAACTGTACTGGGAGTACTGTCATATACTGACTGCACACGTAAATAGAAATGGCACAATTTATTCATATGCATGTTTTATAGGCTACTGAACAATTTCTAAATGAAACAAACTTCGAAAATCTTCGAAAACAAACATAATAGATAAAAACATTAGTATGCACGGACAAAGTCGGTGATATGTAATTACATTTTTTGTAAATTAATTTTACAGTACATTTTTTGGGGTGGTCTGTGGGCAAAAATCATCGATGCATGTATAAACCTTGATAGCGCTTTCTTAATTCTTCAGAAGTCAACTGTCTCTATATGAGCGGGCTTAATTGTGCATGGTACCTAAATTTGGACGCTGTTTTGGGTAGTTAGCCCTTCCTCACTCACTGTTGAGAATCACATCACCTTACCAAACCATAACCAAATTTCCACTTGCAGCACAAGTCCCTAAAGAAAAACTCTATTTACTCGCGCATATTTTCTTCTACTGTTTGTCTTGTATTGTTAATATATTATGAATATGAAATAGAAACGTAAAAAATGTGAATCATACAAATTTCAGACCAGCTATCAGTGTAATATGAAATTGATGTACAAAATCTTGTATAAATTTAACTCTATCTCTAATGCTGTTATATAAGCTTTATAGCGTATACACAGTGGCGTAATTATATTTTGGGAGTGTCGAGTGACGCCCCCCCCCCTAAAAAAATCAGAAATAATGGGGCACAGTTGGAGAACTTAAACTGCGAAAAAAAGACAGATAGCAGCCACCTGTTGCTAACTGATCAAAGTTATGAATCTTATGGGAGGGGAGGGGGTTAACTCAGTGGGGTAATTAAACTCTGTGAATGGAAGTATATACAATCTATACTCCAGTACGTATTTCTACTCTACTAGTTCCAGATGATTTTACTAATTTACTTGTAGGTGATAGGATGCTATCAGACATTATTGGGCCAACAACTACGCATATATACCTGCATGCAATTCGAGGATGACCGAGTTTTGCTTTATCCCTAAAAGGAAAATTATATATTAGACACACCAACTACAAACGCTTAGAATTATGAATGTAATGACAGATTATATGCAATACCTTGATAAAAATCACAATCGGAAACTAAAATTACAGTCAGAGAAGACTTGAGCACAGTCGTTATCTTTATTTGTCCAAAGCAATAAAATATAAATTATAATTTATATATAGACGTGTTGTTATACTTGATTCATATATATATAACTATATCTATAATATACAATTATCCAAGATGTTGATACACATAGGAAATAATCAACGGAGTTAGAAAAGTTAGGAGGAAACAATTTTATTGCCATTTCCCCGCTATAAATAAATGTTCTCAATCCTGCATGTACATGCACTGATCGAGGCAGTTTGCTTCTTTTTCAATTTTCCAGGAAGTTAATTTGGCGATTTGGCAAAAAGGGATTTCACGTAAAGGTCAATATCATCGAAATAGTTAGGACTGGCGTCAATCCAATTATTGGCAATCCATTTCGATCCTTTTATGACATTGCAACCACCGTGAAGCGAGCGAATATCAGTTTCACCCAACCACCCGGTTGTCGGGTCGACTTTGTGGTTATACCAAATCAGTGCCGATCGTTTCTTCGGTTTATAATACACATTGGCGTCGTGACAGTGACGTCCAAGATCTAGTACGTGACGATCTTTACCGAAGAGTATCTACATGAAAGAGTAGCATATGTAAACCCGAACTTTCACAAGTCGATAATAAAACGATCTTAGCGCCGTTAGGACTCAGCGCCCTAAGATATTTCTGAAAGGTTGAATATGGTCAATGCCTAAAACTGTTCATTGTAAGTGGTGTGGTCGGCTAACAATTATATGGCCTTTATTAGTTTACGTATAGCTTGAATAAAAAAGCGCACAGAATAGTTAGTATATACTTGTGACTGGAGTCTAAAACAGGACTTGCGTACCAATTGATGTCAAACCCCTTAAACCGACTCATTGACTCTGGTAAAGTTACGTATATTACATGCCACGCTTTGTTTCAACTATTTTACTTCATGCATGTTTGAAAATCACAGCTCTTACTTTGGAATCAACCGTAACATTGTCTGCGATAGGAAATGCGGTCTCTCCGCCCTCTTCGACGTCATTTAGGAAATACAATACTGTCATATACCTGCAAAAACGAAATTTCGGGGTCAGTCAAAATTATGCTTTCGATTATATTGTTACAACGTATCGCGAGCAAAAAAATAATTACGAAATTGTCAATTGATAAGGTAGTCGCCTTAATTGGTAGGGTGGAATATACCGGACTATTGGAAATTCGAATTTAGTAAGAATATATACTAACGCGCATTGGTGTTTATATATATGTTTGGACGTGAATTTGATACCATCGTTTGCTGCACGTTATAGGCATCACGTTTTGGGTTTTACCTTCCATCCAGGTTTGGCGACGCTATATATATATATATATATATATATATATATATATATATATATATATATATATATATATATATATATATATATATATAACCTGCTTTTTACAAAGATTAGGTCGGTGTTACCAAAATAGAAATGTGATCATTAACCAGAATCGATTTTTAATAGCGCAGCAAGTCAGCAAATGGTTGGTGAAGAAGAAAAAAGTAGTGAATGTGGAATATACCGGAATGCGGTATAACTTAATATATACTACTTATAACAATCAGTATATAGTCGCCGAAGGCGAGGTGGTTACAAGCCTATATTTCCTTCGCCTATAACACGTTTTGGGTTTTACATTTCCATGCAGGTTTGGCGACGCTACTGCCAGCTTTTTACAAAAATGCATGCAGTTTAGCAGAATAGAAGTGTGATTATTAAATATGTAGAATCGATTTTTGAAATATTTTCGCACAGCGAGTCGGCAAATGGTTGGTGAAGTAGAATAGTCTCAAAATGTATTGAAGGTCAAATATATACGCATTCCGGTATATTCGACCTTATGGTCGAATATACTACAATAAAATATACATATCGTGATGTGCTAATGCAATATAGATGCATGTTTATGTGTTCAGAAGTGAATTTGATTTTGATATTCACGCCAGAAAGATTTTTACCTCAGTGTAGGTTATATACGTTTTGGGTATTAGCCCTACGTTTCCATGCATAGGTTTGGCGACGCTATATACAGCCTGCTTTTCACAGAAGTCAGTTTCACCTTGCAGAATAGAAAAATAATGTGACTATTAAGCAGAATCGATTTTGAAGTATCTCAGCTGGCCAAGCATGTTTAGCACGGCAAACGGTTGGTAAAGAAAAATCTCATGATCAGTGGTTTCAACATGGTCTCACTAAGCTTTAATTGGTGCATGTATGCAAGTCACGCGAAGAAAAAGTAAGATAAATGAGAAGCATGTAATACCGTGTGATGATGTAAAAATTTTTCTCTGCTCATATTTTATAGCCCAATCATATATATTTTGGCACAGGTTTTAATTCATATCACATCACATCTCATTTATATACCTGCACAATTTACAGCCTGATTTCCAATCTCTGTATTGGCAACATTCTTTGCTGTCGCGGCTATTTTCCGAATCAAGATGGGAATGATAATGCCCACTTGGTCGATATCTGACCACCTTAAACATACAAAATATTCTTACGTTTTTAGTAGAGTAAATTTCAGGCTACAGTTTTCCGTGCGGCAAGCGTTCAAAAAACTGCGGTCAACTGACTGCTCAAGTGGGGCCAAATTTATGTCGAGGACAGAAGAGGCATATAGTTATATTGACAATGCAAAATATGTATATTGACCTCGAATGAAAAAAATTGAAAGTGCAGGAGCTCCGCAACATCAACTATATATAGCTATATCACGGGAAAACATCGTCTTTTCGTCTCACACCTTTAATCGCCACACCTTCCAACCACTCTCCTCAGTTGCGAAAATGATTGAATTTTCAAAAGTAGCCAATATTCATGAAATATATACATGCAGTACAGTAATGCGATATACCTGCAAATGCTCCCCAGCTTTAATCATTCCATATGGCAAGTCTGTCAGATTTACAATCCTGGCAAGTTTGAATAAACTATTTCAGTCACCACATTCACATAGTGCATGTAATCATTTTTATTTCAGCTGACGCCTGGCCTAAACACTCGCATTTCGCTTTTGCAAGCCCTTTGCAGCAGGGAGCTCGAAAAATGTTCTTTTCAATTTTTTCAAAGCATCGAAAATTTTATCACTGAATTAAATTTGCTATTTATGCAATTTGGAAAGCAGGTATAGATTTTCCTATAGGCTATACGGTTATCAACGTCTTATGTCTGAAGAGAGACAAGCTAAGGGCTGCTTATAGAGAATGTTGTATTCAGGAGTTCTGCTTGGTAAAAATGCACGGCACTAGGTTAGGATTGCTGCATGGGGATTGAATGTTCATTTAACTTACTTAGGTTGCATCACTTGTTCGACTAACCTGTGTCTGATATTTTCAAAGAGCTCTAACGAAGTGGAAGGTTCTATAAACACCGTGTCACTATATCGGACCTTTCGTTCAGGATTCGTTCTTTGCAAATTTTCCAAATATGTGTAGAACTTATCGTAGCTCTTTCCTGCCAATCCTGTAAACATTTCCTCGTCAGAAAGCTTACCTATATAAAAACAAAAAATATGTCTTCTATATATAGCTAGTGCATGCATGACGACTAAGCAATTAACTGAATAAAAAAACTAAAGTTCTTCACCTGCTGACAGTTTAAAAACTGTTACAGTGAAGCGAAGATTTAAATTCACATAATGAACAATTAAGGCATATTGAAAATAATAAAACACTGGGAAACATTACCATCATGATTGACGTCCAGTTTAAGAAAGTTCAGTCTGAAAGTAAATATAGGATTTTAGTAATTTTTTTCAAGTACTATGTAAAAATGGGATGCAATTCCAAAAATTTGGGGAATTTTTGGAATTTAAAATCATATAATTAATGACCGCGGTTGGTAATCTATAAGGATTGCGAGTACGAGTTGATCGGTTAATTTCCGTTCGCAGTGATGCAGAGACTGGTAAAATCTTACCCAAGGCTATGCCGGCATGGACTATAGATTTTGCTTTGTAATCCTAGAAATAATTTTATTTTTAATAGTCCTAAAATATGGTATGCGTGATGATTCTATAAGTAGTCTATACCCACTCTATCCCTGGTTTGATTGTTGGTTTGTTAAAATTAATACGTTTCAAAAGTTCTAAAATTTTGTACTTTTAGTTGTGGCACATGCAAGCACACCCAACATGCAAGCATACTTAACATGTTTAAAACGATTTTTTTAATATTTGTATACATAACGTGAATAAACGTAAATCTCAATTATTACCATTTGGCCATGCATATATAGGTACATATTTCAGGATAAATAAAAATGGACATAACTATATATAGGTATCTATAATGCATCAACTAATAAAAGAATTAGATCACAGTGATTAAGAAAACAGAATGTAGGAAGTAAAAGTAGGAGTAATGAAATTTCATTTAACCAGTTTATCAGTTAAACGAATTGTCAAATTACAAGGATGTGATTTACGAATATCTACAAATAAATACACATGCAGTAACTCTAAAATTGTCAAAAATCTATTTTATGACTTAACTTAAATATATGCAAAAGTACAAATCATACAAATCAAGGTAGAAGAAAGAGGATGATTAGTATAATATAAATCCGGTTTGACTGTACAGGCGATTCTTTCCGCTTAGGTTCACTAATCTGATCTGTCATACCGGCTTCAGTGATGAACAAGTACTACGAATGAGGTTTTTAGAGTTCGAAATGGACTCTGCGAAGGAATATATAGTAGAGGCAAAAAGTGAGAAAAGAATCCAGTGTGATACCCCCGCCGAAGAGAATGGCAATCTTGGTCAGGGACGGCTCAAATACATCGGTTTCAAATAAGACAAAGGCAATGCCATAGACCACAATGTTTGTTATGATCGATTGTATCGCCAACATCTGAGTCTTCCCCTTCCCATAGAACACGCTATCCATTAGGGTATTTATCATATACATGCAGCATGTAAAATGGCGCCAGAATTGTTGCAAGCCGAAAAACCTCGCTCGTTTCTTTGATATTAAGGACAACGCCGAAGAAGCCTTTCCATCCAGGAATTGTGACAACCCATACCAGGGCTATGCCCAGTACAATGACGTAGTAGGCCAAGGTCTTCAGGCGGTGGTCCATGACATGATTTACGTTGGACGTATCTTGGATGAGCACTTTGGAAAGAGACTGGAACGGCAAGAGAAGCCAGGACCAGACAAAGGAATTGGCCAGCCAATATATTCCTTGCTTCTTAACAACATTCATCATACGTATTATCATGAGAAGATAGGCAGCATTTCGCGTCAGCGAGTCGAGGCCAAAGAAGAGTCCCACGAAAGACCAGTCGCGCAGCCACGCGAAGGTTGGTCTGGTCAGACAGAATCCGTACATCCTGCAAAAGACGCACGTTGCGTAGACAAACGTCACGGTGGCCGTGGCGATGTTGGTGTACGCGATGCCATTGACGCCCAACTTCAGCGAGACGTCGATGGACTCGCTGAGGAAGAATGAATCGAGGACGATAGATAGGGACATCTGGATAGCAAGAACAGCGTATATGTGACGCTGGGCATCCAACAGCACGAAAACCACCATGAAAAACTTGACCAAGTTCGACATAACCAACCCGATAAGTTCGAGGCGGACATAGTCGACCGTCTTGCTGATGAGTTTCTCATCCTGTGCCAACCAGTCGGCGAGTGGCGAAGCTGCGGCGGCAATCGACGACGCGCAAACGAGGTAGACGAGGAAGGTTACGAGCAATCCGCCTTTGACCTTGTTTTCGGTTTCACGGGCATTTCCGATCGTGAGTCCGATGCAAAAGTACAGTGGTTTGATCAGCGCCTCCTCAACGACTTCTAAGATAACGTTCACCCATTGTAACTGTGAGGCAATGTTAACTCCCCATGAGTTCGGCAACTCCCCGAGGTAATGAATGCGAACCGTTGTGTAAATAGTTGGCATAACATCTGTTAGCAGCAGGGCGAAGTAAAGACGGTAGTTGAATCGTCGAAAGGAGATTTTTGCCGCGTTAAATATAGGAGGGTCTAAAAAATAGAAAAAATCTCTCTGTCAAGGTGCCTTTCCATGCAAAACTACACTCACACATCGTATACAGCCCGTAACAGCAATTTTTAAATACCCTGTTGACTGACTTATTTAGATCGAGAGCTATTGTTTCGACTTCAAGGAGACTCGGTCGGCGCAAAAATTTGTTCGATGAACGGTAACTTTATTAGACTCTACCTTCTGGCTGTATCTCTGTTGAAGAAGCCTTTAGCTCGACATTGCTTTTTGGTGCCTCGTCTGGTTCTGAATTCATATTTCTCCTGTGCGCTACAGAATGAAAACTCTGCATGTAAAAATGTATAAATACGCATTTATTTGGATGCAATGATAACTGATAGCTAACCTGACAGGTATAATAACGGTCTCGCTGTTGAAAACTTTCACGGCTAATATAAACCAGTCGTGTTATCTCAACTTCTTGTATTTGGTCATTTTGAAGTACCCTCATAAGGCGGTTTTCCACCAGGCTGAATTTTTCGACCGAACGAAATTTTCTTCGAATATGGGCCCCGCTCCTTCCCCCAATAATAGAATCCACTGTTTCGATCTGGCAAAACTGGCACTATACCGTCCGTCCGTTCGCCTGTCCGTTCGTCCGTTCGCCTGTCCGTTCGGCCGTCCGTTCGGCCGTCCGTTCGTCCGTCAGTCCATTACCCGTAAAGTGTATGATTAGTTTTGCAAAGCAGAGTTACTTTTGGATTCTGATTTATTCCATTTTCCTATCTTTGTTATTTTTAAACGCAGACGCCTATTTTTGAAATACTTAATGAAAACACTGATATCTCGTGCTCACATTTTCAAACCTCAACTCTTACAACATTCAAAACTAAAATATCACCCTTTTAATTAGAATGAATCCAATCCTTCAAACTACATTTCGACTTCTCTCTTTCAGTGAAGGATTTTAACCAGGTTTTTAGGAATTGGCCAATTCGGAGCGAGTGGAGTCAACTGTCTTACGTTTTGAATAGAGAAAGATAATCTTGGAATTTGTGTCGCAACTATTATCACGATATTAATCTCTCAACTGCTGCAGTACAGTGAGTGCACTACAACATGTCGTGTGTAAACTGAGTCCACAGCAAGACGCGTTCGAAGTTTCGAATTAGAATAATTGATTATCCATTGATGGCGCGAAATGGTCGTTCATGACATCACTACACATACTTACAAGGAAGATACGTTTATTCTAGTATTTAGATCCACTAGCTTGAATCTTCGCGGTTGAGTGCTTTCAATTTGGTGCAACAAAATATCGATTACTAATGTTTATTATTTCCTGTGGATATATACCCAGCGCCGGAATAATCCTATAGTTTGCTTGTATCACATTTCACATTCCCGGTTGACCGAATCTAAACGCTAAATATCGTGGTCATCAGTAATGTATTCGCAATGTGCGAGCTCGAGTTTTGGCACCGCAGACCGATCACAATATTGTTACACGATAATATGAAGCTGCCATTTGCCAAAAGTGGCAAGCTAGTTCGATCAAATTTGATCAAAATTATCATCAGAATAACCCATCGTAAATTTTTGTACAACTGTTCATACCTGCAGTTTTATTCTCCAGTTTTATTGCTTCCAGATGCTCTAGCTGGCGACCGTCACGCAGCGATTCACCGTGGCAACCAAATGAAGTGTAGCTTTTTTTTCACTTCTACAGTTTTTGTTTGCATATTGATTCCAGGAAGGGAACCTGCGTGGGCGGTCAGCGGTGTCAACAGCTGTGGCCAATAAAAAAACGCGCCACGTGTAGTGATCTTGCATTGCACGCGTACGATTGTTCATTCGCTGCTCTCTTCTTACCAGAAATTTCATTGCGCTTGAAACACGAGAGACATGACACCGAAAATTTGTGGGTCCTGTCGCTTTTCCACACATGACCACAGGCCTCACAATCGGCAAAAACAATCTCGAAACTTCAAATGTATAAAAGCGTAGATGACTATGTATGTACAAACACAATGGTAATGCAACCGCTGCATAGATATATCCTATAATTGGGAAATGTTTGCATTGGATCGTGTAAAATGCTAATACAGACCTACTTTGATTACTGAATGCTCTCGAGCTCCCTTTTGGGGAGTTTTTAATAAAACGCCTAGCGATGATCTACAGAAATTGCAAAACCGCGCCCTTAGAAGTATAGCAGGCGCCAGTTATGAGATCAGATCTGTCTACGTTCTCCGCCGGATCCCTTAGTTGGTAAAATCTGGAAACCAGACACTTCCGATCTAAGGCAACATTTCTATGTAAAGTAAATATAATACTGCCGCTCTGCGGCCTTGAAAATTCCATTCACTAGTAGAGAAAACCTACTAATTTCAACCGCACACTCTCACACTGATTTAACTTGGCTCTTCCAAAACCAAAAAAAAAGTTTCTTGGAAAAAGTTTCAAGTATGGTGCAGAGCTGCTTGCCTGTGAAATACTCTCCCGTCTGAAGCTAAGCAAGCTGGATAAATTTTCTTTTTGTTAATAATAGAGCTGGAATTCTTCATTCATGCCTCCACTGGGTCACTTCATCGTAAATTTCTGTGGCCTTAGTCGCATTGTATATATTGTATAGACTATACATGCATGCATGTATAGGTGTTCTTATTTCTTTTTTTCATATAACTTTTGTAATATTTTAATATGGACGCCCCCTGTGGAAATAAACTCTTGTAGCTGTGGGGGCTAGCATCAGTTTAATGAATGTTTATAATAATCAATAATAGTAATAAAAAGAGGTGATCTTTCGACAGTTATATCGCGGTCAGGCTTGAGATTTGAATTTGCATAGCCATGTGTAGCTATAAGTTTAAAATTTATCCCAAGCAAACTTCCCCCAAATGCATTTCTGGTAAATTATTATCTTGCTTTAAAAACGATGGTAAAACATTAGGAACCAACATTAAAAGGGGGTGGGGACTGGGGAGGCGGATCGCCGAAAGGACATAGCGGAGGTTGCCGTTAGAGTAAGAAAACTGAGAGAACGTGCAGTGTCAGTGTGCCCCTGTCCTCATAACGTTTGGACAAAATTGTAATTTTATGTCATTGTGAGAAACAATTTCAATTGAATAGTTTGAAAAATGCACGGAAAGTTTATCAATAATCAGATCAAGTCCTGGGGCCGGTTGTTCGAAAAGCGTTCACCTCGTATAGCTTTAACGGCGGATAAGCCAAAGCTTAAAAATACTCTGGCTCATAGATCTGGTAATGGCTGAACCTGCATCTTATACATTTGATATGCGCTTCCATGACAGTTAAACAGTTCAGTTGTTCAAAAAGAAGATAATTTTGTTTTCTATTTTGAACTTATCCACCACTTTTGGAACAACCGGCCTAGTATAACATTGTTGTTTCATCAACTGGGGACAACCGGACAATTTCAGTCTTGTAAATTACTTACATTTGTGCTATGTCGTCGTCCCCGAGCACCAATCCGGACAACTTTATGAAAAACTCTCCAATCTATAAGCAAAACATATAAATCACTAGTCACTACATACGCGTGGTCCATGTAAACGAGGGTAGTTTTTTTTCATATATATTAGGATAAATTCCTTTCAGCATTCGAATGACAACAGGCAACACTGTGCCACAGAACATGCTTCCATATACGCCTACCTCGTACGTATTTAAAATTCTGTCAAAATTTATATCAACTTTGCCAAAAAATTCCATTATTTTCTCTATTGACAATCGATTCCTATTTGCTCTGACTGTAGTACTCTCCGATAAACCACTGGTTTTCGCGGTGCTAATAATTAAATCACACTCTTCGTTCCTTAGGAAATTTTCCACTTCTGGAAAAAAAAATGAAGCGACCATCAATGATGATCTTGACCTTTAACTTCGACCAGATTTACGAATGTACGTTTCACGTCGTTTATCGGTATGTTAATAATAGGCAGGTTAAGTATAAGCGCGTTTTTATCTAGAGGTTTTAGACAAGAACCTCAAAAAAGAAATATTAATTGGTCAGTGATTAAAGCGGAAACAACACAGGTGACAGAAATTCTGGGGAGAGTTTTGAGGAGTGGAAATTCAGTAGAATAGTGTTTTGGGACAAAACCTGCTCGAAAAGCACCATTTGAATTCGAAGAATTTGTATTTTTACCACAAAGCAGTCTGTAACCTGTAACAAACTGTCTATTACTAAAGGGATTGCGTTATCCAAACACATTCTTACCAAATATTGGAGGGTTTAGAGACAATGTTTGCATTTGATGTGTTTCACCAGGAAAAATTTGAACATTCCTCTTATAGCCAACCTACAAAAGTGTATGAATATTCAAGTTATGTCAGGGCACGCGGAGCGTATCAGAGAGTGGGAGGATTAATATCAGTCCTAAATAGAACTCTTATAACTATAAATGACTCTTTAACGCTAATTTTATTTCAATAATTTTCAACACCCCTCGTCTCCACGGTCCATGTGTGTAGTAACCAACTTAAATGTTATTGAAAGGATTCGGTACGTGCATGATTAGGTGAAAAATTTGAAACGTAATGTCGAGAAATCAAATCAATTACTAAAAAACCAGAGAACAGCGCAATGGCGTCTTGAAACAACTTGGCAACAAATGCGATATAACAACAAGTAGTAAAAAGTAAACTTCTTAAAAAACAAACATTCAGAAGCGAGCTTCTACACCCCCAAACCTACCCAGCAAGGACTTTGTATTACTAAAAAAATCTTTTGTGAAATATGTGTGGTTGCTATGGTCCCCCGTCTGGAGAGCAAAAATGTTTAATAATTTTAGATCAACATCTATATTAATTCCTGTCATTAAGGGCCTGCTTTATTCATAATAGCAAAATACTATTAGGTCAGGATCTTCCCAAGACCTGTCGTTATTCATAAAAGCAGGCCCTTATTGACAGGTGTTGGCAAAGCAAGCCCTGCTTCTCGATTGCTTCTACATGGCGCCTGAAAACACCTATTAAACGGTTCGAGGTTAAAACTGATCTTCCTACTAAAATAACTATATATATACACAAGGAGTGAGTACACAAGATATATTGCGAAAGTACATGACATTCGTTGATGATAGACCATACTCATGCATAATAGTGTTATAGAAACAAGGAAATTAGATTTTTCAAAGGAACCACCAATCTAACCTTTACGGGGTCTATTCTTGGTAGATATTTCATCATGACAACATCTCTCGTTTGTCTTTGCAAGTTCAAATTTCTATTAAACCGTGTGTCGACATCGCGTTGGCACGATTGGCTTTCACTCCCATCACTACCATCCGAATATTGTGTACAGCCATTCGCGTTTCGGTTTAAGAAAATAAAAAGGCATACAATGCCAGAAAATACATAGAAAACTTGCCATTTAAAACCATTAGAAGACACGCGCATTGTGAAGCTATTATACCTTGCTGAGCGGTTCCTGATAATGAGTGTTTCGATCTTTTTTCACCGATATTGCACAGGATAATTTGAATAAAGGCGCTCTTTATCCGGCGTCAAAAATAATACATGCAAAGCAGTGTATGAACATACATGCAGCATGTTATAAGTGCATCTGCAAATCTGTAGTGCTTGATTAAAAAATGCATTATGATTGCAATGTTTGACTCACGTAAATTGAAAACGTATTATATATATAGTTACATTTAACCATGCATGTTTAAGAATCATGATCGTGCGAAAAAAATGGTGGTGGAAATAATTATAACGATCATATAGAATGATGCGTAATATAATGAATTATATACCCAAATTATTGGCTAGCTAATATCTAGGTTCTGGAGGTAATTCAATGAATTTGTAGCACCGCAAAGAAAAGACTGATTGAGATAATATATTTTTCATTGCGTAGACATGTTTCAAAGAAAATAACTTGGCATCAAATGTGGTATAACAACTGCCTAAAATAGACAAAAACATGCACGTCTCGACGTTTCCACCCGAGGGCTTTCGTCAGAGAGTTAGTTTATCGACGCTGCTCCCTTATATTGGAACGTATCTTCAAATAAAATAATTTTACTAAATTATTGATAATTATAATCGGGCGAGAAGTAAGAATTATTACTATCGAATACAATAAAATACAGTAAAGATAAAAGAGTTTAGTGCAAGAATAGCTAGCTATTCAATTCCATTTCTATATTGAATTTAATCAATGACAATAAAGTTATAACTTCTTAATAATAGTAAAGTATTTCCTTCCATCTTGTTCCGTTTCAATAACTCTTTGAGAATGTTTAAATTTACAAAAGAACCTCTCAACGAACAGAAGAAAAAACAGAGAAAAAGCTGATACATTTATAGTATTAAGCTCTACACATAATATAATATTTTGGACATCTCGTATAGCTTTGAAATGCTTGAATTGAGGTAGCAATATTTCTATATCAATCTGGCTTCTTTAATTACAGTGGCATTATAATGGCAATAACAGTCGCCTTGGTTACTGAACTTAGAGGAAAAGAATGCAAATTTTCTTTGGCAAAGCTTTTCATTGATATGAAAAAATTTCCCAAATTCCCCATGCTACAAGTTTAGTTTTCCGTATACTGCCATATATTTAGCTCTTAACTGCCTATTTTGTACCCCCCCCCCCCCACTCACTACTGTACGGCCCTGACAATTTTTTGTCTTTGCATATGAACACTGTGAATGATGAAAATACCTTGAAAGCCAGTCTATTGAAAAGT